ATATATATATCGCTATGCCTTTGAGCTACAAACGCTGAGCGTGTGGTTGCGAAGTGCTCGTTGCTGCCTTTTATTTCAGTGATGGCGGTGGGATGATCAAAGATATAGATACGTTAATGGTCGAGTAGATGGATGACTGGATGGCATCGCCAGAAAAGTGTTTGCAAAACTCGGCCAAAAAAATAAATCGAACGATTGGAGCGTTAAGATGGAAATTGCAGATGATTGGTCAACCAGATTATACCAAAGGCGCAATACTGCCTGTGAGGGACATGTGATGGGACCACTTTAAGAAGAATCTTTGCGACCGTTTCTTTCTAAATAAAGCCAAATCCCTTAGGCAGTTTCTTTGTAGCAGTCTGAGAAACGGGAGAGACGGGGACGCTTGAATAGCTTGTGTGGGCTAAACCAAAGCTTGGGGCTCGAATTTAGCGTGTTCATGGCTGACTTTTGCCGAAGCACGAAATCGGCTACTTTCGTGAACAGTAAGTAAAACGAATTGCTATGCTAACTTAGTTTCAATGGGCCGGGACTATGTGCTAGAAGAACCCGACACTCACTCCCAGTAGAAAAAGGGGGCACCTGTCATTGTTCCGGGTATACCAATGCGCAGTTCCTGCACGTTGTCGTTGTAAGTTGGGCAAAGCAAATTTTGGTGAAAAGCCCTAGGTGTATTACCACCGCGAAAAATGTGCTGTAGATTCGCCGGCCCACATTCCCGCAATCAAAAATATCTCCCTGAGTGCATCAATCAGGGCTCATCAACCAGGCTCAGTCCTCAGTCCAGGAAGGATAAACGGCCACTGAAAAATATACTCTGTCGTACCAATTCCAGGGCATGACGATCAGTCCCGCTCATATTGCCAAGGATTTGGTAGTCTCAGCCTGTCGTCAATGCTACCCAGACGTAAAAAAAACTGTACGTCAACTGATGATTCACTATTTTCCGGAGAGGGGAATATGGAAAAGAACGCCTGAGTACGTACGCAGCTACGATGTATGGCTGCCTATAGGCAAAGGCTAGGAAACGTACGTATTACCTCATTGACAGCGGATTTGTAGACCTGCTCCAAAAGAAAAATCGGAATTGACCCTGTTGAACACGTACAGCCACAACAGCAGGTGTGTTTCGGAAAGGTGAGCCTGGTTATGAGGGCCTGTTGGCGCAGACCAAAGTGCCGTTAATGGCGTCGGGTCCTGAAAATTATGTAATCTGTCACATATGAAAGCAACAGAGTCCCACTCGGCGCGCGCACAAAGAGATCCCAAACAAGTTTGAACAGAGCAATCGAAGTTAATTATTAGGACTGGGGGTTTCGCTGGATAAACCTGGCTGAGTTGTGGTAGATCAAATATTCCAGTATAAATACAGTTTCGGCCATGTATGCGCAAACTGAAGCGCTTAGTCCCGCTAGCCAGCTGAATCTGTTCGCTTGAATATATATATATAAATATTGACGCTCAACAATAATTTAAGATTCTCTCAGAAAACGCTGTAATCTCTTTGAGACTAAGTTTTCGATTTTCTTTGCTATGCCAAGCTCAAAATATCGTACATTTTGACTGCCTCGTAAATTATTTTGATCAATGTTGAGAAAGTTTGATTTTAGAGCAAAGCCACACTGACAAATCACTCACTAATGAATGTCCAGAGAAGGACCGCTGCCGGGGCAGTTTTGTGCTACCCATATGTCGCAGATATATAATTTCTATGTACATCAGTAAGCAAGGCAACAGCAATATAGAAGCTTGGAGGCCTCAGCAATTAATGGAGAAATCGGAACACTTCACGATGAAACATTTTGCCAGATATAAATTGAAAATGATTCCAATTGGCTATATGATAGAGTTCTATTACCAGTGTTGGGTTTCACTACGACATTAGGTTCCCGAGATTATCCACACCTGCACCTAGTTAATGTGTGATTCGATTGCAAAGAGGTCACTTGGTTACAAGAATACGATAGCACTCCGCTAGGAGTGAAACTGCCTTTTGACTATGGGGCACGTATTTTGTTAAATCTTTCAAGATTTTGGTCTCAATCTTCATATAAACAAATGTTAACAGTTATATAACTTAGTATACGGTATCTAGTAAATATAGATAATGAAATCAAGTTATTATTTGATTTAATTATACACATTCAATACCGTAATAAAGAATGAGAAGCAAACATCAATAAATTAGTTACAAAGCTAGGTATGCATTGATAACAAATAATAACAAACATTATTAACAAATCATCGTCTGTAATTGGTGTGGACTTAAAAGCCACGGCCGAATCAGCTGTAGGCCGCATACTTTGTTGACACGTAAGCTGAACTGAAACGATTAGAGATTCTGATTTACCTCTAGGACAAGAAATGGTGCGTTAGGTAAGCTGGGGTCGGAAGGAACAGTGGATATAGAAGAAAAATACTGGGGCATGCTTTTTACCGTTATCAGCCACGAGTCTTCCGTGAGTAGCCAGCTCAGGAATATTCTTTTTGACTTTGATATATTCATCTACGTAGTGGAAATATGACTTTGCGTTTCCGAGAAAAAGTTACGACCTTTGCATGGGACTTCGATTTATGGTGGCAAAGTGAAGCTAACTATCCGGCTTACCATCCGTTAGACGCCGATCTCAAGGATCCGGATGTATACTTTGACCCTTGCGAACTTTACGGAGAAATGAATTAATATTACAGCTTTCTCATGTATATTACGAATAAGGTACCTGAGCAAGGACCAGCGGAAAGGTTGATCACTATTTGGTACAAACCGTACCGGACACGCCATTTCTTCGCGGTAAACAGTAACAGGCAACTCGCTTTATCGCCGTAAGCGGCTACTCTGTAATATGGATCATACTACACACACGTCAGAAGTCGTCATGACAACTCGTTAAGCCTTAATATGAAAAATGTTTGCCAGTTCCAAACAACACAACAAATACACCCAATATATACCCAGATAATTCTACTGATACGTCTGACTTCTTTGTGTTCTTTTGATACAAACTTTTTTTGAGGTTTCTTAGCTTGACGTGCCCGCTGCACCACCTTAACTTGTCTTTGTTGCCTTAAACAGGTTGTTCCTGCGTACTTGTTGTCCTAATTTCTTTCAAAATCGTTTGCTGATATTGCAGGGAGCAGTGCGTGCTGCGAATCGTTTGCAGCGCACTCGAGTTTCTTTTCGATGCGATTTTTTTTCCAGTACTTAAAAAACTACGCTGGATTCCAACCTCGAGCAAACGTCTAGCATTAGCCGAAAGAAGGCTTATGTCTTGTAAGTATATACTAGAGCTAAGTTACGTTAGCTAACGCTAAATAACTTTATTTGAGTAAATAGCATTAAATCAATTTGCTAGTCAGAGTTAACTGATCCTGTTTTATGGTGATTTCCCATGAAACTGTACATTGTACTCCTTGGTTTTCAAAGCCGATATTTTCTATGGTTACATACATAGGGGTAAGGCTTTGTGTAAGTTATATTAGAAAGTACGCGTAATAATGAAATGCGAAGGCGTGTTGAGTATCGTTGTAAATCACCTGGCAAAGAAATCATTTGCTGTCCATGTAGTTCAATATATATATATATATAAATATATATATATATATATATATAGTTAATCGTCAGACTGCCTTGCGTAATAAACAATACATCGTACCAGCATTATGGCTGGCGCCGATCTATTTAGAATCAATCTACTACAGTCACATTTAAGTCTATCTATAGCAGCTCATATTTTGTGTCGCTTTAATAAAGGATTCCCGACATCTTCATTTGACTTTATGTGATTGCGGGTGTATTAAACTCATCTGCTTTATGAAGACATGAAGAAGCCGTACGAGTCTTGGTTCGAGGACATCGGCAGGATCGGTGATAGCGCAGATACCTGTCGCATCTATACCATAAAGGTCGCTAGTGATGATCCTCAAGTAGGTGTCTTTGTTGATATTTGATGAGCAGCATACTCTTCAGCATATCGTTACCTACGTGCATTTTTTTTTTTGCTCTAGATTACGAGGCGCCAACTATATTTAAAAGTAGTTTGAAGTAGAATTTGAACTAGAGTTTATTATGGAAATCATGACGTTGTTTATGTATGCCGTTATCAGTCAACTAGAGAGAAGTCGATTTGGCATTTGGACTACAGACTTAACGGCGGACGATATCAATGAAGTCTGTACGACATGTAAATAAGAAAAAAGCTATCAGACATCAAGCGATAAACACGATAGCGCAACACTTACAGTTTACAGCAGTGTTCTTCCTTGAAAAAACTTATTGCTTCAGTGATTACGGTGACACTCAGTAGGTGTCCCATAGAACACTGACGACACCCCTCGTTGACATAGGTGGTTGATCAAGAAACAGGATGAGACCGATTCGCTTGCAAGCAAAGTGAGGCCTCGGACACCACAAAGAGGTTACAACATTGCTACAATACGGAGCAGTGTACAATTCAGTGACCCCAATGCGATGCCGTGCTCGGCGAGTGTTTTGGCAAGACATTTTGACCTCACAGGCTACAGTTCACTGAAAATAGAGAGATCCCGAGCAATCACAAGCGTCGTTGAACACCTGTTGGAACGTACAACATGTAGCAACGGTCCTGTTGATCACATAATCTCCTTTAACTCAGGAGCTCAGGGAGTCCAAGGATAAATGTCGAGCGACGTTTTCATCTACAAAAAAATACTGCGTGTCATGGTTTTTACAATGAGAATGTCACTGGACTCTTTCGTTTGAAGATGACGGTGAAACGGCAGCGTCAGTTAATGGCGAAATGGATGATAACACATTAAGAACCCTTCTGTGGACCGAAACGAAGACATAGTATAGAAGCAATCTTTGGCTTCAACAAGGTGGTGAAATTTGCTACACAGCTCGAATTTGCTTGAAGGTTATTTCGTTGCCCGGTGATAGCATGAAGTGGCAGTCCTGGCTTGTTATTTAATGACACTGTATAAACGATAGTGCCTATCAGATCTGATTTTAGTGTGTTAAACTCTTGCAGTTTGAGCGCCTAATGAAGTCCATTATCGCTACCCGAAGTAGCATATACTATGGCGCATTTGTAAAAAAAATCAGGTCGATAGGCCTTTTTGAGTTATTTCGACAAATACCCCGAGATGTATACTTTGTAGAAAAACGGCCAGAACACGTTGTGGGTAACGCTCTTTAGCAACTCCGTAACGTTAGTTATCGACTCATACAGGCTGTAGGTTTGACTTCAGTAGAATTCTGTGAATCGGTATAAGATAGTTCCGCGTTAGAAAATAACCGCTGCAAGATTAATTGAGAATTAACTCAAAAAGCATCGGAATTAATGAGCCAATTGTTATCCATCGAGCGGGTTCGGGGCTTTTTGCCTACATTATGTCTTTTGAAAACATGATTTTGACTTAGATTTTTTATTTAGTTCTGATACTATTTTGCCTGATTTTTGCTCCGTATCCAATCTATTTAACTCGATTCTGTAAATAGTATAGATAAAATAGTGTACATATAAATACGCAAATATATTAGGAGAACAAATACCCTTTTTTGAGAGAATGGTCTCTGGGCGAAAATATCAAAGGCATATGAGACACTAGCATGAACACACAGTCACCAAGCTCACTCTAAAAGAACAACAATTATATACATTGCTGTTTGTTGAGTAAATCCTTTAGTAGTGGTTTGCTTTATAATGAGGCTTCGAGTTCTAACTATAACGTATAACTTAACTACATGCGTAACAGTTTTTAAAATTGACAATCTTAGCATTTAATCGAAAATCGAAATCTTTACTGTAGCGTCTGAAAAGGATGTATATATGAATCACATTTGGTCTAAAAAATAGGTTTTTCGAAAATATGCTATTCGGACAAACAGGATAATATGGAGAGTGAGACTTACCGTAACAACAGTCGGATTGAACGTATATGGTCGTTTCGCAGATGAGGCTGGTTTTTATAATGCATAATGTTAAACGCCGCGTTTCGGGGCCTGACACGCTACGACTAAACATGTCAATTATAAAAAAAACTTTACAAACCTTAATTTCGAACTCCAAGTGATTCAGACAGACGATTAATATTTCTTATTGACGAGTCATATTGCGACTTTCAGCCATCTTGTTATCTAGAACAGCCGGTTGTAGAAAAACGAAGTTTTTTTCGAATGAAAAACGAACGGAGGCTTATACAAAAGGGTCTGCTAGACGTTCTAAGCCTCGTCAATAAACAAACTGTTCCATGCCGTTAGCAGACGATCCTTTGTGCACATAAAAAGAAGACTTAGAAAATGATATTCACGTCTATACTAAACTAGGTAAACACCACTATTATTGCAATTATTGTCTGCTTATTCATACTAATTACTGCGACAACTTCTGAAAGTTATATGTGGCAATGTGATAGTATTAAGTAGGCACCTCGGTTAATAAATTATTTTAATTGAATTTTCTCTGTAGAGAATTTTTTGTTGTTTGCCAGGTGTTATATACTTTCAAAAATATTATGCCGCATTTGTCTTTGGCAAACTAATGTTTGCTTTAGGTTCAAGTGTGGAAGATGGATTACTAAGGTATACTGTGTACAAACAAATATCGACAGTTCGGCTCTGTACCTACTGCACAAGCCTCAATCCTCCAAGGCGCAGTTGTCCACTCAGCTAACATATAGCGGACATAATACTCATGTTCCACGGTAGAGATAAAACTCAACGCAATTTCGAACCTATTCTTAGAATTACACTTCAACTTTACTCTCGCCTTACTCCATTTTCTTAATAACACAAATCATTCATATTTCAGTTGTTTTTCTAATTTGGGAATGAGTGAAAATGTCGCAGGGTACGAGCTAGAATGCTCGAGCTAGAATGTAGGATTAGGGCAATGCAGGCATCTTGTTTTCGCTTCCCAAGTGGAAAAGTGTGAGCCGGTACACTATCATAAAAAGGAATTCAAATATGTTCTGCCAAAGTTTAGACTTCCCTTGGCGAACAGCCGTCTTTCATTTACACAACCTTTGTGGAAAATCTTCATAATACTAATTAGTGATAATAGAACCACTCAGCATGAATTATTATTAACGCACAATTTCAAGCCTGTGTCCTTTACATCATATCCGGACGCCCACGTCCCGTCAACTTTAATGACACACTGAAGCAAATTCGGCTCAGCTTTGGGTTTTGGGCGCTAAAGCGGTGGTTTACGAGTCTGCATTTAGTCCAAACTTTGGTTCCTAAACATAGGTTTTTCTGTGGACCTTCTCGCCGCTAAATAATCCGTCAAAATTGTTCGACATAATTCGTTTGGGATGTCAGGCTCCTCGATGGTGAGCTTTCATCGAAATTTGTTTGGCCTTGTCCACGATTTCGTGCGCTACAGCAACACAAGTGCCGTTTCCAAAGGTCTCTCCTTAGCCCCCAAAACATTGGTGTAACATACATAATTGGCGTTAATTGACAGCCTATTCCCCAAAAGCCTTTTATAATATCGGTACTTTACAAATAAATACTTGATTTCGTTCGTAACAGAAAATGTCAAACGTAGCCTTTGGTACTTCATTTTCGTTTTCTTTAAAGGCGCCACACGGCGGAAGTTATTCACTTCAAAATGCTTTCAAAGTACTGTTTCGAATGCGAAATTCTGCCTGTGAGTTTGTATACAGACACACGTATTGTGGAGTTGCGTGCCGGCGCAACCTCGAAACTTGGGAAATGCATTCTGATTTGATTCGTCCTTTGAAGGAGGATCGCCACCAAACAAGCAGACGCTTAGCCATTACAGTACTTCCATTCGAGGGGATTTACTCAAAAGTTTAAATTTATATTTCTCAGTTTGTCTAGAACTCGTTCATAAACGTATTCCTCGTAGAACCTAGAGTGAGGCGTGTTATTGATTCACCATTACGGCTATCCAGATCTCGCCCTTCAATTTACCAATATCTCTGGCAAGCTAGGCAAATGCCGAACGAAAAAGTGAATTCGTTCTCTGCCCTTTCGGACATCCATCGTTGGGAGCTTGAACTAGACGTTACATAAACGCTATGTTCGTAATAGATTGTAACAGAGACTAAGCGCTTATAAATAGTATATGACACTTGACCAAGAACCCGGAGAGTCCGGGAGAGAAGAAACCGCGAGAACTCTCCAAACAACTGGATTGATCTACAGCAGTACTTCTGAGTCACAGACGGCTTAAAACTAACTTCCCACCAAAAGTTTTAAACGTATCTAGGAGGACAGAGTGTGGTGTAGACGATTTAACCGCTTTAAATTATTAGAACCTGCACCATAACATGAAAGCTTAACTTAAACCTTTTAGGCGCACTATAGAAACTCGCTCGTAGCTCTTGTCCTTTCCGTCATACGGAGAGCTTATAAACATATCATGCCTCACGTATGAATGCATTTGCACTTGTCAAAAATGAAACCTTCAACTTTACTTTTTTACATCTAATATATTAGGACAACATGCCTAGCTCAGGAGCGCTGCCTGCCTGCCTATTAGCACGCACAACCGAAATCACACTTAGGAATATTTTTGAATTTTTATATACCAAAATAAGTTTGTACAGGTATGAGGTTCTCACTTGCAATCGCATGAAAACAGGGCTGATTTTAAGTGGATATATAATACGTTAAATGCAGTATAGATGTGAGGTCTCAATACGAGATGTGTCGAACGGTAACGCGGGCTGTTCAATTGAAAAATATCTTTTTATAATGCCTCGTCCCCTTTGATGAACTATGAGGCGCTCTTGGTTTCTGTTCTCAACCAGATTGAGATGTCGTGAGGATACCTGATAATCTACTTCTTTAATTTCATTATCTTGAAAGCACTAGTGCAGAAGCGGAACGTCGTTAGATCTTTTATGGATATAGCATTGTGTTGAATGAGCGAGATACCAATTAGTCACGCGGACGCTCGTACTGACTGTAAACATATTCGTTTTGTCTAACCTCCTTCAGCACGTATCCGGAATAATGATCAGCCAGCTTAGATTTTCGTAAAGCGAGTTGAGTCCATTTATACTTAAGAACTGAAGACATCCTTCTTTCTTACTGGATTTTATGTATACTATTATTATTGACTAGGTGTCTTGTGAAAGTTCGCTTCGATCGACAGATAGAATTTGTACAGAAATTCGATATATAGGCATTACATACATTCTGAATAAATGCATTGCATTTATTTACAGGCGTTTTTTTATTGATTAAATTTACGCGAGTGTATCATATTTAACAAATAATCAACCAGTTATACGTACTAAAAAAAGGTGCTATACAAATGGCGTGCTCTATAGGCAATACTACATAACACATTAAATAATCCAGCCGTTCCGTAACCTCTTCTGTGTCACGTAATATTTCATTCACTTTAATGTCGGCCTCGAATTCTATACGCGCAGAGGACCAAATGTTTCAATTAGGATTGAGCGCCTGTGGACTTTTTTGTATAGATGCAGAATGCAACCTCTCAATTAATAAAGATGTTCGTTCGCAACGCCACTATGACATAAGTCACAAACACTTCCTTTGGTACTGATCCACGGACTCGCGTGCGGAGGGCCGATGTGGATTCTAAACTTCGAGGAACTTTCGCGTCGTCGTGATGTATATGCTATTGATCTACTTGGATTTGGACGAAGTAGTCGACCCGACCTCAGTGGGGATGCCTGGATCGCCGAAATGCAAATGGTTTACGGTAAATATTATTATCAGTATTTCTCATACAATGACGTAGAAGGAAATTAGAATGTCAACCGTAGTGAAAGATATATACTTGTATTATATTAATGGATAAGTCTCAACAAAATTTTCACTGTTTTTCGTTATTTGTTTTTCATTCGTTAGCTGTGGAGCGTTGAGGAATTCTATATTTGCCTCTACACAAGCTCGCTGTCGTTGTTGCGTTTGGATCAATCGTTTGAATACTGAGAACTAAAGTGAATGTATAGTTTTAACATTTCTCACAAAAAAAAAAAGCCAAAATAGTGACGATTGTGTTTATGATAAACTTTTTTGTTACATAAAAAGTTGTCGCGTTCTTCTGAAATTAATATTTAGCAAATATCAAGTATTTAAATATCGTCATTAACGTAAATTTGTTGACTTCTTTAGTTACGGTTATGTTGTCGCCCTTTGGTGACTGTTACATCATTTTGATAGCTTTTAAAAAATTCAAATCTATACGTGGCAACCACGGCGTAATATGACCATCAGCAGGCGAAAAGTTGAAAACAAGAAATACCGAAAAAAATCGCGGGAATTTACCTGCTAACCCAATACATTCGCTCAGGTTAAGGAATATTGCTTGTAACTCAAAATGCATAGTCGAAATATTCATGTATTGCGATTTCAGCGATTGAGGAATGGCGTCGTTGCGTAGGCCTTGAGCGTTTCGTGCTGGTAGGTCATTCGCTGGGAGGCTTCTTAAGTTCGTCGTACGCGATTCGTCATCCGTCTCGGGTCGCCCACCTTATACTTGAAGATCCGTGGGGCTTTCCTGAATTTCGACCAGATCGACCACTTGGAAAGCGTATGCCTACATGGGCTAAGCTGGTTCAATCCAGTCTCAATCATATGAATGCGCTCGCAAGCGTCCGTATGGCTGGGCCACTTGGTACGTAGTCAAAAGGCGGTAGGGCTCACTAGAGCGGTCCTGTTTGGGTACAATTTATGACAATTCATATTATATTCTCATCAACGGGGGCTAAAAAAACCGTGCCTGCGCCCATATCAAATACCTAATTTATGGCACTGTTTTTATACCGTAGCTTTTTGGTGCACGTCTTTGCCTATTCCGTCTACGTCTCGCGTAAAAACACCGAATTATTAAGTGGTGAATGGCCGTTTTTGCTTCTCGTTTCCAATATTTGTATTCACGGACGATAGGACTTTATATAGCGTTGTTAAACTTTCTGTTTGGTCTGTTGTAAATCATAACATTTCGTCGTGAGTACGAATTCTAAAGATAGATCTATTTGGTGAAAAAAGATCGACTTGAGACATTGACATTTTGCCTATATATATATATATATATATATATATATATATATATATATATACACTTTTAAAACCAAATTACTTCTGCAGCCATCTGAAATAAAATTGTTTTCGGTTTTCAGGCCGCCTCTGTAGTTAAGCATTGCTTTAGAAAAACCACAAGTACCGCTTAATATATAATTCACCCCTTTTGTTGTTGCCTTAGGTCATTAATTAAAAAAAAACCTACTCCAGAAGGCTTATGGTACATGTATCGCCATGTGGTATCGAAGTGCCACTTTAGGAATTTAGATTGCGTCCTTGGTGCAATCACACAATAAAAGCTGTGTGCACGGTTCTACGTAACCTAGGATTACATTTTGTTTTTGTTATACAGGTCGATTGTTACGACTAATGGCATAATCTGCGTCCATTTTTAATTTAATCTAATAAACTACTGCACCATTTGCAACAAATATTTTGTATTTGGAATTATGTAGGACCAAAGATTATGCAGATTTCGTTGGCAGCAGCAGCTGAGCAATACTTCGGAGGTTTCGTCACTGATAGGACAGTTATTCCTAATTACGTCTATCACTGCAACGTTCGGAAGCCTTCGTATGTACTTTCTGCAAACGATATTGAATTATTTCTAGAGGTCAGTGATAATAAATCGCGAACTAAATAAATACCGATCAATTGTCCTTTTGAATATCGTTGAAACACTGTTGTGGTGTCTTGTAATGAATTCTAATACATTAAGATTGTCAATACTACCTACGTGACCTAAACTCACTAACGTCCTTTTGATGAGCATTAACTTGTTTCGTGTATGAGTGGAACTTTTTAAGGGCTCAAGCAAATAAGGAATATTTTTTTATGTTTTATTTAATATTAATAATATATAGTATTTCTATGCTTTTATTGACATGTCAATTTACAGCGGTGAGGCGCTATTCAAGAACCTGAGTGTACATTTTGGTTGGACTAAATATCCCATGGTTTATCGGCTCTCACACTTGGATAATCAGGCAAGGCTATCTTAAATTTATCCTTTGAGGTATTTTGTAACTTATGTGATGGATCTTAAATTGTTCATTTGAGAAGTATTTGGAGGACGGAGGAAACACCAAGTAAAGCAAAAAAACAAATAATACAGTAAAAGTATCCATAACCCCAATAATGTAAGAGGCAATGAACGCTTTATATTTAGGCTAAGTTGTCCCATGTGCGGACGCATTATAAAAAGCTCAATTATGTGCTAATGTTGACTGACCGGCGTATAAACATTTGAGGATGGTGCAGTACTAATTTGGCCGTTTACTTCTGCCGAGTATAGTATAGTGATAAACATCTTCCCGGCTGATAGGTTACCTGCTACTGAAATTATTTGGAGTCAACTGGCTAGCTGTGAGAAGCTCTGTTCATTACAATTCGTTTCGTACAAGTTCGTTGTTAAATTAAAAAAAGAGTCTACCTATTGCTAAAAGTGTTCGTCCCATTAAATTTTATGAGGTGGCCTATTAAGTTTGCAGTCTTGTAAACTTACAAAATCTTTCTTTATTCCTTAATAAAACGTATTCTTTGGCCGTCCAGCCCTATTACATGACACACGTTAAAACTGACATGATTATAATTTCATATTGTTATATAATTGCCCAGATTATTTGTAAAAACAATTCTTGAAAAGCTGCAGGATATATGTCTGGGAATTTATAGTAATGAAAGCTTTCTGGCAACCCTCGAAAAAAGTGTATCATTCGTCTTTGTCGTCGTTAAGACGTAAAAGATAGTTTATTAAAGAAGAATAAAAAACAAATAGTTTGTTTTAATATGAAAAAACTAAGCACAGTTTGCAGTTTTCCTGGATTTTTAAAGCTCCATCATAACTTTTCTTATAATGTACTGATGTAGCTCCAAGTTGTATTTAATATGGCATTTCCAAGACACTTTTTGTAAAATCCAATCTGTAAACTAGCCAATTAATCAGAGCATTTTCTGGTAACGGTTATTATTATACTCGATAACAAAGCGTTGATGTAGAAATTTGCGAGAACCAATTTGTAAATCAAGTTGTTTAATAATGAACGTCGTAAAAACAGTAGGGCCTCATAAATGTATATATATATATATATATATATATATATATATGTATGTGAAATAAAAGAAGTTTAGGATAAGCCACAATTTCTAGCACTGCAAATTTACTATGGGGAAGAACTTTTCGGCGTCTAAAATGTGGAAAATATCAAATGACTCAGATTTTAGAACGGCACACTTGGAAGCTGATTTAAATATATTGTTTTGAATGCATCAGCTGGCATTGCGTCTGCGCTAGTGTCCGGGTCCTTTGTATAGCTCTATTTAAATAGTCGTGCAAGTGCGGTTAATATATGAAATCCTGATTGAAATTTTGCCCTTTCAGATGCATTAATATGCCGCGTAGAAACGAATGGGGCAAAATAGGTTTCGCATAATTTACAAAGTAGATACATATTTACACCTATATTTGTACAACTAGAGGCTTCAAGAGACTTAATTGTGCTAGTTACCTGTTGATGGTTTTCGTGAAAAAGAGCTTCTATTTCAAATCACTATTTCGATTTTTCTTTGTCATTGTTATTGGCTGATTGATGCCGCAAACAAATCCCAAAACATTTCATATTTACTGAATTATATGAATATAAATCTTACAAAATTGTGATTTCAAACAGAATATCAGTACATCATGTTTTATAATCAGGGTGAATTTTTCCGTTTCTCGCAAAGACACTTATCTCACATATAACACGTTTCTGCCTACTCGAGGCATTCTATATATATATATATATATATATATATATATAGAAGTATGAATGTTAAATTACGTTTCAACAGGCTGTACCGTGGGATAAGTTAAGAACAAACTGATAAACTAAATTATCGCTCTGTTATTATCCATTAGAGTCACGAATAGAAGCACCTCCTGAAAGGCGGTTTATCTAGAGCTCTTAATAACCGTCTTCGAGATGCTACGAAACGCTCCTTGTGCCCTTAGGTAGCGACGTCTTATCTCCATAAAGCTCCGCAACCATCTGGCTACAGCCTCCGGCCATAATGACAATACCGGTCAAATTTAAATGTCTATAATCTCTTCCAAATTGTTCTTTTTACCTTCTTTACGATGATTTCCAGCGTATTGAACAGCTCGTCGATGGTATCCTATGTTCTCGGCGTTGAGGGGATCAGATATATTATTGTGTGCACCACGTGCAGTTGCATCTTGTAATCGATCTAGTAACCACCCTTTGACCGCGATTTTTAAGTTAAGTCGTCAATAATCCTTTTTCATACTCACTGCCTACACTATATGCTGCGCAACATGCGTACGATTGATTAAAGATAAAAACCTTGTTTCTATTTGACCTCTTGCATGTATTAGGTTAATCCTAATACATGCCTATAACAGGATCTGGTTTAGATATATTTTATAGGCACTCTCTCTATTTGAGTGGTAATTGTCCCACTTCTTTTATAATAGCGCATACTGCTTTTTTGTCTGGCCGTGTTTTGATGAAGCTTTTTTTTTTTCTCTTATCATACTACAATTGGTTTATCTATGATTAATGTCTTTTCTTCAGTCCGGTTTGACGAAATCTGCATTGTTTCGTATATTCTATACGTGCGTCTGAGGTGATGACATTTAACACGAGCGTTTCAACTCTGACTTTACACTTGCGTGGCCATTGTAGTCCGCTGTTTTTTCAGTCGGTTATTCCTCCCTTCGTTTGCTAAACAGCTATTTTCTCCAATTTACTAAAATCCTCTGCTGATGACTCTCCGCATCTTCGATGTTTTCTGTGCGTATATCTATCTCGGTCTTGGTATAGCCCCCTTAGTTTCTCCCCTTACGACCTTAACGGGTTTGAGCCAAACATATATCATCAGTCCACTTGTTGATGATTTGTTAACAGAGGATAAGGCTAAGAATAGTGAATAGAGAAGGAGGGAACTATTAATACTTTTCCGGTGGCCGTTTACGTTGATAAAATAAAAAAAAAATTAAAGTCTGGTCAGCTTCGTAGAGGCAATGTAGATAAGAGAAACGACAACAAGATCATCCGAGATCACTTCAAATCTCTACTTCTTGCCAAGATACATCACACTAATGTACTCTCTGCACTAGTTAAAGCATGTGATGTACGAAGCAGGGAGGTGCTAGGAACGATTATATTGCCTATAAAGGCTGGCTAATCATCTTAAAGTCCGATAAAATACTGTCTGATTAACGATTTACAGAAAGAGGACTGCCTCCTCGTGGTGAGGTTATAGCATGTTTGCTTACTAGATCGAGGAACATATGGCGGTTTAGATTGTAGGCTAGGCGCAGGTAAACTCCATTTAAAGCAATACTGTAGCATATGTAAAACTAGCGAATTTTTTGTATCGTTAGTTGCGCACATGGCTAATAAATACTGCTGCTGTTGCATGAGGACGTAAGCAGGTCCTCCTGAAGGATCCTGAAGTCATTCTGAATAATGAGCGCGGCTCAGGCGAACTGCGAATAGAATCCTTCTGTTCCCTTTTTGTATCGAATGATGCCATGATGTTGAAAGCCGGAGCATCATTCAGAATTATAGAGATTTATTCTTACATAGCACCACCGTACGGCGCCGCTGCAAACTTCATCTTCTTCTAAAGCTTCTTAGTTAGGTCTTAGATGGTACGCGGCAATGATCCAGTGGACAAAAAGATATAAAACACCGTCTCAAGATTCTGGTTGTTTGTCATTCATTCTTTAATTGCAGAGCAGTTACAATAGAGCCTTTGGACGCTATGGTTAGTTTTTTCTAGGCAAAATCTACGTCCGGACATGACTTTTTATCTACTAAAAATATTAAGTGATCTGTATATCAACTTATTCGCTATAAAACAGAAAAAAAAATCTGAAATTGTATAGGAGTTTTCATACAGAGGTAATGAATCAGGTTGGAATTATTCTTCTAAAAATTGCCAGACCTGACCCGCTTTATGTGTTTCACTAGCTGACTCTTACGACATGTAGCTGTCGAGCACAATAATACATCGTAGGGCTGTCTTAATGTATCGCTTAGAAAGATAAGCAAAAGTCATGATACTGCTTTCTATACTGTACAGTAAAACAAACGGAATTTCTGATTGTTGCTTTTGTCGGCAGCGTCGGGACACGAGTTCGGCCTGAACTCGCAATAATATACATATATTTATGTTTATTAAATAAAATTTCAGGTACCAATCACATTTATCTATGGTTCGTTAACCTTCATCACCAAGAAACCTGCTTTCCGAATCCGTGAAGAACGAAAAGGCTGCTATGTCGATATCCAGGTAAGGTTGATCTGTAAGTTATTTAAGTAAAGCAACTGACGATAAGCCATAAAGCAAGTTCTCCAAAAGTTCTTCAGGAGCAAACTTTTTCCTTAATGTTAGAGCTAGCATTCAAGAAAAACATACCACCTAATAGAACTTATTTTAACGTTGTTTAGCAAATAAGCCATTATCGAGCCTTTCTTACCACTTTCTCAACGATCGATCTAGATCATACTTTCGCGCTTTGATTGTGGTCTGTCCTCGTTGACGTTATTATAGATTATCCAACTTTTTTTTATCATTCAGTGTTGTTTTTGTAAAAAAAAAGTACTGTTCGGTGTTAACTTCAGAAATTCAGAATTGCCGTGCACACGGTTGATCAGTTTTAGTGAAATGAAATGATGAAAAATTGGGATATGTGTTCGACTGATGTAATCGATACTTGCTAGGAGTTTTTAAATGGTCGATTTGGATGCTTCTGTGTTTTCTGCTGTATAGGAAAGGCTCATCCGTGGATCTACTGGGCGGTGAGAATTTCGTACCTTGCCTTTAATGTTAAGGTTACCATTTCAGAAACAAGCCAATCATTCCCTGACCTTGCGACTGGCTATAATATTAGGTCCATGTAACCTGTAAACTTCTTCACAAATTTAAGTTGTCCTCAACCCTTTCCTGAAATAATTTAATGAAGAACTGATCGTAGAGACACTTTTGAGATCTCCGTATTTGGGTTCTGTGAAGCTTAACTGAAACATGTAATCGAGTTAAGCACAGCATCAAAAATAACCGGAAGGCCAATCCACAGAGACAGTGAACAACAGCTTTTGTTCTCTCGCCTAACTTCGTTTGTGCAGTTAGAGTTTCAACCAATTCAAAATCCGCTGCGAACTTATAGGACAACTTAATAATCCAAGTAGATCATATATTCAGTATTGGTTAGGTGCAGTATGCAAGTTCAGTGCTTGTACGCTTGGAAATTTTACACAGATGGCTCTTCACTAAATCACATATGAGTTACCTGAAAGCTACTCAGATCGGCCAAATGTATACATAGCTAGCTATATGTGACAAGGTTACTTCTGTAGACTCCGGAACATTGTTTCGTTAGCCACGCTAGACTAATAGGGCACAGCAATGGATCAATTAGATCGAGACTAGCACATTTATTCTCAACCTCACGAGCGATAGTTGGAAATCGACGTTAGGCCTTTAGCGTCGTTTGCTGAGAATAGAATATTGAAGGATTCATATTGGAAATACACTGCATCTAGTTCCATTGTGAAAGCTTGATACGAATATAAAATGTTCAACCTTGTTTTCTGATGTCTTTTGTGCGATACTACCTCGATTTCTATTAGGCATGCCACATGTTGCTTTTTCTCTGTCTTTTAATACAGCAACCTACCACGCAACAAAAAAAAGAAATAGAATCAACCACAATAAAGAGGAATAAGAGAACGTGAGCTATTTTAAAAGACTCTAGCTTTTTCCGTAGCTCATTTGAAATACAAGAAAGATATATACAATATGTTTTTAAATTATGTGAGCTTGTTACATGAAAAAATGTAAAAAATTGGCCATTGTGATTTTATGATCGCCTTTTTTAGTTGGCTACCCATTAATACGAGCCAAAGCGTTCGCATAAAATTTTACACTATACATTGTGCATTCAATATTATTAGAGTACGTATAGTCTATTGGTATTAGTATCAGACTATTGGGCAATATATATATATATATATAGTTTTAAGGGTACTTTTATCCGAGGAGTGATCTGTGTGACCTCACCTTTACTTTGTATTTTTTCAGGTTGTAAAAGAAAGTGGACATAATGTCCATATGGAAAAAGCCTGCGAATTCAATGTAAAGGTCACCGCTGTCTGTGAAATGGCGGACCAAGAAGAACAACATTTTTCAGGCGAGAGGAATCATTTTGAGGTAAATGTGGACTACCGTCTCTGATGTTCTATAGCGATGTAGAACGATTGATGAAGATGAAGAAGATATACTGTTTTCATTATGATTAAATGCTGGTCCATAGAGCTGCCTCATATACAATATATATAAGATAATCTATATGTGCATTTGTTTATTGACGCGACTATCAAAGTTAACGTTGCCTTTAAGTTTTCTCTTATGCAGTGGATGGGAAAACCATTAGTCATATAATCTATCGACAAAAGCATATATGCTATGCGGCCAGTTAATTCAAACCGCTAGCAGAAACTAACTTTGTTAAAGTTGAAGCCGTTTGTTAATTTAGCGCATTAGGCGACATATATTCTTATAATTCGGTAACCTAACGCATTATGTCCTGTTAGTTTTTAGGTCGCATTTTCACGCACTTGGTTATACAGTATATACACATCATTTTACATAGAACAAAGCGAAAGGTGTACAATTATATCGAAGCCTTTATGGCAAGTATATTTCTATACTTTGTAAGCTTAGTAATATTACAAAAGCCCCGACTTTTTTAAATCTTTAATTAATAAAACCTTTTTACAAGTTTAGCTGCGAAGTCCGGCGGTCTCCTTTCTCCTTAAAGCTATTGAACATATTTTCGCCCATCCAAAGTGTCTCAATTTAAAACGTCCAGATACTGATAATAACACTTACTAAAGTTACCGGACTAATGTGCACCACACTGACACAGTAAAGTCGAATACGTTTATTGCATAGACCATTAGATATTAAGTTCAATTTGTACATAACTGTCCCTTTTTCAAAAAATAAAAATGACTTGATTTGGCCTAATGGTCTTAGTACTTGGATAATGATTTTTTTTTATAAGATAGCAAAAACGAATGTGGTACAAAGATGATACCCGAGGGTGATACAGTGTATATAAGCTGTATATATTGGATTAGATACCCGCATCTGAACAATGTCCAGGTAACGACCATCAACTTGCTGGACAAGACGCATTTCACGAAGTTCACGCATACGTCCACTGCTCAGATGTCCTTTTAGTCACACATACGGTATAGAGCGCATGGCGCCATAGCGATGTCGCCTTGAACGCGGTAAAAATAGGATCTTTATCCTTTCATAAATCTATCTCTGTCTGCAGACAACTCAAGCCATATGATTTTGTATTGTGTATCAATTTCAGCTAATATGATAGTTTTTCAATGTACCCTCTATTGTTTGTAGTGGATGTATATTTAACACAATTATAAAATTATGGCATATATTATAATGGTTTATATGCCATAACGTTTTGTTTAGATGTTCTTCAATAATCTTGTTTCATACGTAACAAACTCCTAGGTAGTTGGTAACTTTATTGGATGTTTCTCTGCGTACTTATTTGTAAAACCCTGCTCAACTACGCGATTGAGAGAGTCGTACTTCCTACTGAGGCTTACTAGGTCGTAGGCTTACTAGGTATACTTTTAGGTCGATCTTATTTTTGATCAATGTATTAATACAATGTTGCATATCCACGTCAGTGCTTGTAAATATACGTTTTTGTTTCTTTATTATTTATATAGTATTGTCTATATAATATATATCTATACTATATGTATAGTAGCGCCAGATTACTAGTAAATTAGAATGGCACAATTGACTCTTTTAAAACGGATGCGCTGCTTCCCATGTAGTTTTTATTGTACTTTTTAGGGCGTTTAAGGTCGTTATATAGGCGCTAACGATCCCCAGTTTAACGTAAAGTCTTTTGACCAAATCGAATAATTTGAAAAGTGGTTGTTGCGTACTACCTAAAAATGTCACACGCACAGAGCTGGTTCAAAATACATTAAGAATTACCGCTTACTAAATACTAGTGGTTTGGGACATATGGCCGTCGAACAAAAAAAAGTTTTCTGGTTATCACTCCGATTTGTTTCGCTTCATCACCAAGGCACGACTACTTCACTAAGGCGTTGCAATTGTTCCTTCAAACGCGTTTGAATTTCGCGGCACCCAACGCGCGAATAGCTTTTTCATGTCCACATAATTAGCCAGCATACGTTTTATTTTGAGATGCCAGCTCCCTAACCATAATTCGACGGTGATCTAGGGCTATTTGGTAAACTTTTCCGATGTTATCAGTCGTCGCTATCTTTTCTAACTGTCTTAAACGTTCGTCGTAAACCAAGCTGGTGCGACCGCGTTTGTTAGATTCATCTGTGCAAGATTCTGTGGCGACACCGTGTGGCTAAAGTACTCACTAGTATTATTCCATGTATAAGCATTCATATTAGGATACTTTTGATGGCCCAGGCAAGGAAATTTTTCAAGGTAACCTTGCAAACCGGCCAAAACTTGTAGTAGAAGCAACAATCTAGAGGTTCTTTATATCCGGCAATGGCATAGTCGCGTAAACCTCGTGTAATGCTCGTGTTGGCAAGCAATTTCTAAGAAACAAACAAACAAAAAAAGACTATTGCTAGATGCATTATCGTGCTGCGTGTGCGTCCGTGCGTGCGCACTATAGCATCGTAACGTACCAAACAGCCGTGTCTGAAGTAAATAGCATAGACGAACGGATTTCGTTTGCTTAATAAAAATGTATTTAGCCTCTTTCTAATGGTTTTGCATATACTCTAGTAAATTCGTAGATTAATGCGAATTATGTTTCCAGTGATTAAACAGATATTTTCTGTGCTTTTTTTTTTGTACTTTATAAGCATTCGTCTTGGACCTATCAACATTTGTTATTATATAATAAAAAAAAAACAACGTTTCATCAAAAGGTGATTCCCTAACATGTAATGTTTAGCGAGCCTACTGCTATTGCTTAAGCTGAAATTTTTAGGTAACATGGTTCGTTGTTTAGATGTTACGCAGTATCAAGCCGTTTTTAACCATTTAAGCATTTTGTCATAGCACTGACTGTGGGAAAAGCGGTACCGGCAACATCGCAATAGTTCGCTTTCACTTCAAAACAAAGGAAACCCCGAGAAAGCTAAGCGATTCAGTGGTCGGTACGCATACAATGCCAATTCTCGTAATAGTTTACTTTACCTGCATGGGACCTCCACACATACAACTGGTAACATCAATATTACCGGTAGGTCGGAAACTACCAACATCACAATATACCTGTCTTCTAAGTATACTCCTATTATATAGTATCTTGAATTTTTGGAAAATATTTTGAAGAAGTGGCATTATTTACTTGCCGTAGTGCTTAGTGATGTCTTACGTATAAGGATTTAAATCGATGCAAAACATCAATATCTGTCAGAAAAATAGTATGTATTGTATATGTTGCTAATATACTGCATGCTATAGCTCCAAATCCACGTTCCTGTTCTTCTGAGGGTGGTATCGAATGAGCAGTTCCATGCTTATCATTCGGTTCATTTTCATATTTATGGAATATCGGCAAAGGTGGATTTACCTCAAAATGCTGGTTCTGCGACAGTAAATATCATTCATCTCACTATTTAAATACCGAAATAGCAGAAAAGGCTACCGAGACAGTCAAGACAATGACAGTCGTCGTTTCCACCAGCGGCAGAATCAGGATATCGCCATGAACGAAGTGGTGGACATCTATTATGGAGGTTATCGAAGAAGAGATCGCAGGTAAAGCTATGAAGGGCACAGGCATCACGCCCGTTACGGAGATCATCGTCGTTGTGATCACAGTATCAACACGGCCGCTACAGAGAACACGGAAATCGACGCGGCGCTCATAGCGTAAAGCGTTACTATAACCTTTACCATGAACAGGAAGGTGGTGGACCCCGTCATCGAAATCACCATGCGAACGCGGAAGCCGCCATGGCAATGACAATTACAACAGCCGTGGCCGTCGCAGTCATGGACACCGAATTGCATATCGAAAATACGATTTTCAACATCAGAGTCCGTAGTAAGAGGCACAATGGCCATCATAGATAGCACGATAGACATGGCGGAAGTGAGCGACACGGGGCTCATCATCAGCAGAACGGTATCGCCGCGGAGACGACTCACACAGGCACGACAGGGGTCGCATAGAAATCGTCGCGGTAAGCATAGCCGCCGAGGACACGAGTATCATCGAGAGCATGGACAGCGTCTCCGTCGTCCAGGAAATTATCACAGGAGATCGAACAGCTATTCCAAGTTCATATTCAAGTAGGCCACACGGAGGGCCAAAAGTAGTTAAACGTTGTTTACTCTGTTACATTGATTTTCTCTGTGAACTCGTTCTAGGTGTATGAGGTAGATTTCATAAGACAAACTTCCTCACTTTTGCTCACTGTAGATGGATGAAACATCTATATAATGGATACACGTTACACGACAGTGAGCGCCAAGCACCTTGGCGGATATAACTAACTTTATTGATGTGTCTGACTAAGATCTTTTGAATATAGAAATCGTTGTAAATGCTACGAGCAGCAAGTCGAAACACATGGGTTAGTAACGTACATTACTTTTTTTTCAAGGCTGCTCTAATAAATAAGAAATGTTTTGTCATTATCACATTACGCGAACTCTACGAAACACAAGAACAACATATTGAAAATAGGTTTTGTTACTACGATAAACACGGTTTCTACAATTAAAAAATTCTAGTTAGTTTGTCTTTAATTTTTTCACGAATATTACCCTTCAGATACGTAGCTGTGGCGTCAGATGCAGATGCTCATCTGCCCTATGCTGTTTCGGTAGCTAAATGGGTCTTATCATATACTTCTGGGTCAATTGCATTTTGAAATGATAGTACCCACTTTGTTGTGCAGAGATATGTAGCCCAAACGATAAGTCGTACCGATGTCATGTAACGGGTAAAAATGTTCTTTACCTAGTCTTTCGCTAGACCATGAACAGTCAAATTTTTGGCAAAGACACAAAAAAATGAGAGAAATTCTATTGAGGTCTAGGTAATGGTTCTAATTACTATGTCACCTATTGTTCTCTAATATTAATGCGATTAAATTAATTTCAAATATTAATTTCGCGGTGGAATTGTCAGTCGCATATGGGCGAAGCAAGCCATATGGTGCATTGTACACTGGTTTGTTAATTGTTACCAAACGTCAATAAAAACAATTGTCTATATCGTGTGAAGTATGGTGTCACCTTATTCTCGGATCAGACGTTTTCGGAGCTGAGGAAGTTAAGCTTCGAAACGTTCGGAGTGCTAAGCTACCTAAAGCGATTGGAAGATAGCAAGTAAAATATTTATCCTCTTAAAAGGCCTACGTCAGGTGCAATGGATGCAATCTAAACTGTCCTTTTCATGTTTAAAAAAAGTTGCCTTCGTCGACAGTATAGCGATTCGGACGACCGCTATCGTTCCTACGACGATGCCGTAACACCTCTCGGGAGAAGAACCGCTACTAGTCGAGGATATAGGAATTCAAGCACATTTAGACGCGCCTCAAGTTACTTCAGCTCGAAGAGTTCACAGACCTCAGATCATCCAAAGACATGATGAATCGATGGATCGATGAGAGCAAATTTATAATGTAATTTATAGAGTTTGTGTACAGTATCTTTTAAGGTATACTACTTATTGTTAATTATTCGATAATTCGAACCCGAACCAACTACAACAAAATACTAATCACCTTTAATATCATTGTTATAATAGTTAGCTTTGTGAGGATAACCTATCGATGCCAAAATCAATATTAAGTTTCTATTGGAGAAATCAGACCTTCAGTTTAGACATAACATTTATGTTATTACTACACAAAAACTGGCAATTTGATATGATCTTCTTAAGTAATACTTTTTTTATCCACTTAAAAGTCCTGTTTAGCCATTTTACGTACGCAGCAACCTGCATACAAAATAAAGATGTTGTCTAATAGGCTCTGGGTGGACGTTCAACTGTACGGCCAGCTGTCAGGAACATCATAGCGTTTACATGTGCTTAAGAAAATATATGCTGGCACCTTCTTCAGACACGTCTGAGGAAGAGCTGCTAATCTGGTGATTTTTATTGGCACCGGTAATGGCAACGCCAAAGAAGCCAGCGCCGATGCTGACTACAGAATCTTGAACATAGTCAAGCATACTTCTGGTACACGTGCATGAAGATGTCAACAGATACAAAATGGGAATATTCCTTCACAATTGCCAATCTTAGCAATGACAAAAATAACGAAAAAAGCATTAAGTAAAATTCTAAAAATAACAAACAGGTACTTAGGTCGTGTTGTTCGAGTATTAGCCTATAAATATAGCCTATAAAACCACTGCAACGAACACAGTAATCATTATCGTAGCTCTTGCATTTTAGATATATAATATTATAACGTAGTGTTATAAAACGTATAAGAATGATATTGGGGAATCTGTATCGCAAATGAATGAGTTTCGGACATTGGGCAACTTTGATGGAAGTTTCTTTTATGGAAACTTCTAATGGAAGTTAAGAGACTTTTTCTCTATCCATCTTCTATGTATATGTGTATAATGTGGCAGTTGCAAATTATCTATCGAGACAATATAGATCAAAAGTATGAAGTCTTTACAGAGCTGTAATCTAATAAAATAAGAATATAGGAGGGCAAAAAGCTATTAGGCTGGCTCACTGGGCTCGAAAATGTAAATTTGCTTTGCCGACGTCTGCTGTCCTATCCTGGTCCACGTGTCTCTAGATTCAGGGCAGGAAGAAAAGATTCTGGTATTAATTCTGTGCAGAAGATGAGTCCTTAGCTGTTGTTTATAGGAGTGATTTAGGCAGAGCACCTAACACTATGATCGATGGGAAAAATTCTAGATATTCTATGGAGTTCAATGCTTTTATCAACTGAACAACGAAAGCGAATGAGTGATTAATGACTAAAGGACCCGAGAGCACCTGTCAAAGCTTGGTCTGGAAAAATGGGCCACGAGCATTCAATGACGAACATAGTTTGTCCACCCAGGGAGGAACGTGTCTGTATGATATACTCGGAATTACCAAGAAAGCCACTAATACAGAAATCCGAAAGGCATATCGTCGCCTTGCTCTCGCGTACCATCCTGATAGAAATAAAGAAGCCGACGCGGCGAAGAAATTTCGTAGGGTGCAATACGCGCAAAAGGTAATAATGCGCAGGCTTCTGAAGCCTTTTATGATTCTTATGTGTACGTGAATATGCGTCCTTATGCGATTCCAGGCACTTTCATCTAAAAAGCTTTTTCTTTACACAAATAGACTTTATTGAGGGCTTCTACTTTAACATTCGTGCGCAAGTAAACACCACCTTGTTTTCCCAGGTATTTTGGCTCTGGTAATTAGAAAGTGCAATCTCTCAGATATGGTTATGTGTTCCCACTAGGTCCATAAGAAGTTTCGGTCTTTTTGTTTATCTCTGCTTTTCTGTAATCTAAGCTAAATGCAGTCATAATGAAACGTTTCCTACCAAGACGCGCTTCCGGTTTAAGAAAAGGTTTTAACAGGATTACGCCTAGTTTTTAAGGCAAAGTATTTGCTTTGACCTTGAGTGTGTTGCACCCGAGTCCAAATATCATCTTGTTTCATACAAATACAATCAGTTGCCTCATATTCTACTTTGCTGCTTCACCTGTAAAATATACATAAATAACTATACCCTAAATCAAGCGGTTCTAAACCGTATTTATGACCACTTATCATATTTAATAATAGTCTAAACTGATACTATATTAAGTACGTGACCTTAACAAAACTAATATACAATCAGCTTGTTTTCTATTGATATGTACGTAGGCAAAATCGGCAACCGTAAACAAAAACAAGGTTATCTGATGTAGGTGGATATGAATGTACCAACTGATAGTTCGCTATGTGGATCTAAGCGCACTAGACCTGTAATAAATAGCGAAAAAAAAAACTTCAGTTGACGCTTCTTTTCCGTTGATGTCTCATTTAACTTAGACGAATTAGAGCAGCTGGAGACAAACACTATTCCATTTGCGCATTTCGTTACGGTACTCCAATATTAACTACTTCCTTGGTAACCTAACCTCAGGCTCATCATAACAGCATTATTCTATTTTCCTGATTTTAGAATTAGCCCATTGTCCCAATAACTCCGTAACTTGATGCAGTTAAATACTGTTCTGTCTGAATCGTGTGAAAGTAATTCCGAACGTAACTTGCTCAACTCCCATTAACTTGTGTTCCCTTAATATCACTACAACGCTTACAATCGCAGTTACTTTTGACCTTGGTGGAATTGCTTCGCTGTGTCGACCCCGCCCTCCATTGCTTAAGCAGCTAACGCTATGAATCCCTTCGGTCCTAAACCTCACTAAAATACCAAATAGTACTGATATTGATAAGGGAAATCTAAATTAGCTCGAAGCCTCAATCAGTCTGTGATAATTCCGTAGCGTGATCTACCACAGGAGTGCTTTTGCAGTCTTCAATAGCGCGTGCTTATTTCGTGCTCCCATCATTGTACGGCTTCGGTAAAAAGCACTGCTGTCGACCCTTATCGAATTCGTCCATAGAAGTTAGGCCCTAGGCGGCAATAATACAATGTCAATAAATTAACTGGACAACTAAGCTAAAAAGGAACGTATAGTTTGGTGGTTTGGAGTTTGCTCACTTCACGATGATTGTCTACTAGCCTATCCTACAATCCCTAACCTGAAATTACGTGTGCTAGACATTATTTAGTTGTTCTTCCATAGGCAATTGGCCGCGATGACCCTGGACGCTCGATTACCTCGGAATCATAAGATGTTAACGCATTACGAATCATTAAATTCCAAAGTTTTTTATTTCTATATATTTTTCCGGAAATATACTCGCCGCGCTTTCGTTACAGACAATTACGCTTAGTCTACTACATAGAGCTCTTAGATGAGGATCGGCCACGGAATTAGGCTTAATGGGGAGTCAACATTGGAAACAAAACATTGTACCGCCAACGATTAGTAATGTTTGTTTTAGAACCGCAACTTTCGTACCAAGTCTGACGCCATCTATGTATACAAAAGCATCGTCTCATACTTCAAAATAGTACAAACAGTATATTTTTTAAACCTCGACCCCCAACTCAATAGCGAACCTTCTGATACCCTCAACGATTAACAGACGAATTCCTTGCCCAATTAACAACTATGTTACATTTTACACGATCACTAGTGCGCTGCAACTCTATTGGTACACAATGGAAGTTCGAACCAAACAAGACAGAGACACTGAAAGACCAGTCGATTTTTTCCCTGTTTTATACCATAGTATATTATATAGAATTGAATGGAAATGCTATAGGTACAATTGTGTTTGCTTCCACAGATTCTATTGGATCCAAACAAGCGTAATATTTATGACAAGTTCGGCAGTAAGGGCATTAAGCTCGCTGATCGTGTGGGCGAAAAGAACGTCCCGTTTATGTTATATCTGGATACCTTCTGGGGTCGTTGTCTCGCAGGTTTTCTGTTTGTGATCACTGGTTGTGGCTGTTGTTGTCTGTGTTGTGGCTGTTGTTTTTGCTGCGAGTGCTGCTGCAAATGCTGCTGCAATCGATGCTGTGGTGTATTTGCACGCAATGAGTAAGTGGACATACTCCGACTTTTTTTTTTGTCTTGCATGTATGCATACACCCCAGTGTAGTTTAATTGGTACGTGGATATTGGATAACTTATTTCGCCGTTGCCGTCGATATTAAACCGTAGATAAGTTCCTCATTCGTTCACATCTACTAGCACAGCATCGTCAAAGCGTATTCATAGTGATCTATATGAAAGGAATATATTCAGGAGTTTTATTATACTTATGGTGTTTAACAAGCTGGATAGGTCGTTACCTTTTAAAAACGCGAACCTGCAAAAGGTATGGTTAACGGTTGTACGGGTGATCAAACAGACGCTAACGTAGACTATGACGCACTCGACTGAACGCTACAAACTGTTTCATGAAGAATGCCGGTTAATGCCTATGTGTTTTAAACGTTCTGCTGTTTCGTCCTTTGTGTGAGTCCTGAGTTTCCAGCGGGACTACGAATAAGCCCAATCAGGCTAGTTCGATGCGGCGGCTTTTTTTGTTTGCTATTGTTATTTGGTCGATGTCGTATCAGAGTTAACCAATGAAGACCGCAAGAAATTTAGAAGTAAGGAAATTGGCTTGAAAAAAAGCTTGCTCGATATGACCTTATCGGCTTTTGCAAAGAAATCTACCTTCAGCACCGTGGCATTACTTCACACTACAGCATAGAGGTGCGAATTTTACTGTTTTTTTTTGCGATTTGGCCACTTCACTGCTACGATCAGGAATCTAAATACATGCGCCATGGCTGCTGATTGATTTTAATAGTCGGCACTTGTTTCTTGGCTACCCATGTAGAGAATGCATTGGCTAATACCGGACCTCGTGGCTTATCTGTATGTGGCTCATTGTTAACATTGAGATCATAAACGAACTTTGTCTCATCTCGTGTCTGTCCTATTATAAAAAGCAACAAGAGGCTGATATAAACGCATATCTGACAGGCGTCATGTGCCGTGACGCCAAATAACAATCACTACGTTCATAAATCTTCCCATCGCTCTGAGTATTCGTTTGAATCCTGTTAAGGAAGCGCTTTGCTTTGTTGCCATTTCTGCAAATTTACTTTACATATGTGCCTTTTAGCTCGATTAGTTACAATAGATCGTCGTACGGCGCCCGTTATTTGTTTAGCACTGGGTGAAACGGATGTTAGGGTATGTATTCACACAGCTATACGTATAGTTCGTGATTACAATATCGGTCACGTACTGTAGTTTTAGGATGAACGCTTAATTTTCATAACGGCTCGAACTTACGTAACCTCTGCCGCAAGGCAAGGCAATAGTCAAAACAAAGATCATCCCCAAATGGCTTCTGGAAAGCAGTCGTTCGCTGCTTGTTGTCTATGACTACTATGTTTACTTTTACATCGTGAGAATTATAAGGGTGAAACATTTGAACCCTGGTAATGAAAGGAGAGGCTATCATTTTTTCAAAGCCAAAGATCCGCTTTTGTCACCCATTATAGGAACTCAGTCATTTTTGTCTCTCGGTTACATTACGACAACAAGTCTCTGCCGGTGTGCCAATTACTCCATATAAACGAGGCTTTGGTTATTTACTGCAGATGGCATGGGATGTTATAGTAAAATAGATAAGTTCACGTATGACAGAACTCCAAAAACCCAATATTTTATCTCGTTTATACACGCAACTGACTTGTGTAGTGTGACCATGTTTCCATTAGGTGCTGTGTTAGTCTCACAGATCTCGGCTGGCATCTTCCACTTCCTGTTATTCGGAGTGCTGGTCTTTGCCTTGTATTTTTCGCCTATTCGCTCTAAGGACAATGTCTAGCAGGACAACACTCGGCTTGCGTTTTTCTATGCTTGAAGGTTAGTAACATGCTCCTATAGGTTTTAGGAGTATTTTCTAGTTCGATGTACCGGGCACTCCTCGATCTGGGCCTAAACTACCGTAAATCCGCTTCCGAAGCTCTCATATACTGTCCAGTTTCAAGTTGAGCGGTACACAGGCGAACAGTGTGCTGCATATAGTGTTTCTTGGAGAAGGCTAGCGTAATAAATCGTATGCAGTTGTCTGTGGCTTGGGGCCTTCGTATCGCGGAAACATTTCAAGGCGGTTCCGATAGTAAATCGTTTTGTTCGAACAACTTCGTATATTTAGTGCGAGTTTCAACCGTAATAAGGTAGCGCTGTGTACTAATAAGGCCATATCGCCATAGGTTTTCCCCGATGTTTTATTGGGCTTTGACCCTCTTCCTCGTAAAGTTCTTCGTGGAAGCTTCCCAGCTTGACACTTACCTGCGATGCTGTACACATTTTTCGACTTGTTTGCTAATATTACTTCAATTCCTTCACTTGAGTAGTGCTGCTGATAGCTACCGCGCGTTTCAAGAGCTCGTTTATTCGTGGAATCTGACATTTGTTTCTCCAGATAATATCATACTCTTCTATTATGTTTAGCATTAGTTTCTTCACGATTTTATGGAGAATGTAGGTGTTCTTTGTAGTATGTTCCTGCCTGTATTTCTTTTACAGCCCGTGCCTGCTCCAGGAAGGTCACTTTCGACACACAGTATCGCCGCGTTTTGGACGGCAAATTAAGAGTGTATGGACCTTTCAGTCCTTTTGCAGGGCAGCCAAATTCACGTGTCGTTATGTTCTTGTCGGGCTTAAGCACGGTCGGTGGTAATTTATGGTCCGTGTTTAGTGGAGTGGAGTTGAGTTGCTTGCAGGTATAGAGTGCGTGTGTGGTAGGTGAAAAGGATGCATCAGCGCTTCTGCTACTTTTGCTGTAATTGTTTCATACCAGTTTGGCGCATACATAATACATACACATCTGACAACACTATACTACCGACTCTGAAAGTTGGTCTGACCGTAAAACGCTTTCTGTTTTGTCAAACGTCTGTTTGTTGATATTGTTGAAACTAATCACTTAATAACACAATTTGCGAACTTAGAGATCCACTGATATCATGCATTCAGCGTAAGAGCGCAAGCCGAAAATCAGTATGCCGAAAAATGCGACGTTCGGTAACGTCGCTCGATGACTCAGGATCAGAGCGATCTGCCTAAACTTCCTTCCGTCATGTTGGGAACAGATTTGGGATACGAAATTTGTTCTTGAAGGATGCTCATTTTTCCACCCAACTTAGAAAACCGAACCTGTTTAGCTTCTGTGGTAGCAAACGCAGACGTTTACTGTGTTCCAGAATGCTCGTTTCCGTTTGTATCATCCAGAAAAGCGATGAAACTTCTAGACCTGCTACTGCCTGGTCCATGATTTCGCGAAAGTACTCGGCGCTGTCTTAATTCAACAGCAGTCTTGTAATTTGGTACAAACTTAACCGGCATCGACATTTGGGCCTCGTCGTTGACCTCGACCTGAAGGTACGCCTCATATAGATCGATTTTGGTAAACTAGCGTACATTTACAATATTGAACATTTCCTGAGCTATTTGTAAAAATTAGTTGGCTTCAAGATTGAAATTTACTGCTGCCTGATAATCGACACAGAAGCACATTGTCCAGTTTGAATTATATATTACTATAGTCGGCAAGACAATGTATATTCAGGAAGTATTTCCAGTATTCCGATTTTGGTTAGGCGCCGTTCGATGTCTTTCATCGTCCTAACTAAAACGGCGTAATGGATGGTGGTTTATTGTTTGGTGAAAAGTAATAGAAAGGGAAAATTTGAATAGTTTTATTTGTTCGTACAGCCACTTGAACGATCCAGAAGAATAGTTATAGGAAGTTTACTTTTATATTTAATATTGGTGCTTGGGCAACCGATCCCACAGTTGATTTGTTCTCAACGCCTTGCGGCATGGGACATTTAAATAGGAGAAAGCTTTAAGAACAAGGTAGATAGTGACGCACGTAAAGCTAAAGCTCTATAGCACGCAGGTTATTTTCGTTATTATACTGACACGTTGAGTATAATGATGATCGTAGAGTGTTCTGAAGTAGGACAAACTGATTTATTGGGATCGCGTCGCGCGTATCAGAATCAACAATCGTTTTAGGCTACCCGGGCATTTTCTTCCTTTTCATGGCAATCGACAGGCCTTCGTCGATCGCAGTTACAAGGCAAATTCGTTTTATTGGATGCGGGTAGCCGGTAAAAAATAGCTGTTTGTTAAAATGTTAGAGCATTCGCTGCGATTCTATTTCTGTCTGGGCCTTCTGGACACGGTTCATGTCCTTCATACTGGTAAGACCCATTATTTTAGTTAGTGGCCAGATTGAATAATGCTGTGTAAATAAGGAGAGCTTTAGAGTTTAATCGAGCGCCTTATATACCATAAATACATTATCGGACGATCGTTCATAGGTCCATAGAAGGTCGAGAATTGCGTTGATCCAGGCTGTTCTGAATTTAGACAAACTTTGCAGCTTTATCAACTAATGAAGATACGATAGTGCTCCATATTTAACTCCATAGCTCTCTATAGCTAGTTGTGCGTTAGCCGGAAGATTGCTAAACAGTCGCAGTTTAGGTGTAATGTTTGCCGGCAGTGTGGTGCGCGAACTGAGGTCTAACCTAGGTACTGTATCAGTGCTAGATACACGAAATCAGATATTTAGTCGTATCTTAAAAATATAATCGGGCATTGGCAATCGACGGTCTGATTAATTCTCGGGTTTGATGATTTATTATTAGGACCTGATATAGTCATAGCAAACATGCTTAATACCGTTATTCAAGCAGTCCCTAGTATGTGTCTTCCGGATAACATCTGTAGCTGGTTTTGGCATTGAACATGCGTCGATTTCTCTTTTTTAACACTGATTCGAGTAAATCGGCCGGGTTCCATGAGGCAGAGGGGTGGGATACTTGCGTTCCTGACCATAGTGATTAGAGCCCATACCTTCAATGTAAGCCCCAGTGGTTGCAAAAGGATAAGATGCAAAGTGAGAATTAGACAGACTTTTTTGCCCAGAAATTGTTTATTTTTAGAACGGAAAGAAATAAGGCTTAGACTTTCATCACGTGTGAATTACTACCTTTGCAGATATATTAACGGGCCGTTACAGATTATTTGTTATTTGCATACCTATACTTTTGTTAGGTACGAAGGGCTGGTGTTCCGCGCCTTTGACGAGACCAACTGTCAACATTTTGGCGCTTTTCGTTACGTCAGCTTTAAGCAAAATTTGTGACGCACTATTAGGTACCAGGGAGCATCTCTTCGTGTAAAGCAAGTTAGCGTCATATACACATGTATATTTATTTAGAATTTTTCGAACGGGCAAACCTTGCCTATTTTTGAAGCTCGTCCCTTTCAATTTCAGAGAAAATTATAAATGGATGCATTTATTACATAGGTCTCACTTTTTATCGGAAATCTTCCCTAATGAAAAAAATTTAACATTTTGTTTTCGAATTAATTTCAGGTCACAATACTGCTCATGTCGGTACGTAATTATACGTGTGCCAGGCACAAAAATATCCTTTAGTTATTTGTTTGTAACTTTCGAAGTACTGTTACAGTTCGCTATACCATTAGCATATATCAACGGGAAACATTTGTATATAAGATAATCGTGTTATTAAGTCGAAATAACTTAACTTTGATAGATTTTGATCTATATAACTATTTTGTTGTCGATATTATAAATAATGTTTAATCGTAAATATAAAAACAATAGATATCAATTTTATTCCTGCATGCGCTCAGTGCTTAAGGGCAAGGTCATAGATAATCTTGAGGACCCTTTTCTACTGCACTTCAACTATACAGGTGTCGTCCACACAGAAAATGATACTTGAATGACTACTGATATTTGCTTCACAAATTATTGACAAAAAACAGACGATCTCTAAACAAGAAGCCTTCAGAAAGCTATGTTCCGTTATTTCACTGCAGGGCCACTCGCTAGCCCGGAACGCCCTTCACTAACGAAAGCAAACATCATTGATATGTTTAATCTTCTAGTAAAACGTAGCTTTGTTTGGCCTAATTGCCAAATGTTGAAGGTCATTACTTTTTCAGGAAATAAAAAAAAAATGAGCGCTTCAACCATGTACTGCTTTCCATCTAACGGATCATAACGTTAGCTTTAAAAATGAAGAGATTGCACAAAAACTTTGATAAAGTAAACGATTTTGCAATTAAAAAAACATTCGAATGGAGAGCAGTTTTGGTAAATATGATCTGCTTACAAAGAAAGCGGGGTGTTGCTTGTGCACGATCTTTTTGTTTTGTATGTAGATGGTTTTAAAACGTAAAATCTTGGAAAAAACATTTAACTAGCCTGTCATAATCGTCGTGTAGGTCCGTGCACTTTTAAGCCACGCTCCTATCTCTTTAATCCGTCCAGATAGCGGCAGCTGAGACCTAATCTTACAAAACACACGTTGATGAACGTGACGGCGTCTTCTTTCGGTCTCCTCGCGGGCGACACGTTTAGCCTTGGAAGCAGAAAAGTTGTTTGGTGTCGGACCTGTTGAACATGAGTGGGTGGTCAGGCAGTCTGAACCCCAATCGAACGTGAATTTTCGTTCGTGGCGTTCAGTAAAGTGTGGAACGGGTCCTCGGATAGCGCGGCACAACTCTGCTTATTCAAATAATCGATCAGCCGAACATGAGTTTTCCTCAGAAATGCCATAAAAAAAAATCGCTGTCACACGCCTCGCTGTCCAACATATCAGCGAACGTTTGTAGTGGCCCTGCAGAGCATAACGTGATATTGTAAATTGTCGAATTTTGCACATACACTGCTCAGTGTTGCAACGATGTCGTAAATTGTTCCAGGCTTCTATTGATTTGTGAGTAAGCCAATATTCTTGTTTCTTGATCAACCCCCACAGTGTCAACGGGAAAGATCGTCCGTCTGATACGTACCACTTGCGGACTGTCGCTGTGATCGACATCTCATTTCTAAGTAACTTTTTACGGATACCAAACGCCGCTTTATATCGTACCCTGTCGGCAAACCTTTGCTGCTTGTTCAGAGGCACTGGAGCAGCGAGCCTAAGTGGAATACAAACGTTTAAAACATTGAAAATTTACCATTATAGGTTGTCTAGTATAAAACGTGACATTCTACAGTTAAAATTGTTGCAGGGTAACTAGGAATTAATGTTTGGTTGAACTTCATTGTCATCCCCACGACGCACCATCATCCCTATGTCCCATATAACCAATGGCCAGTTACAAGAGGGTTTAACGCTCTGCATCTCGGTGGAACTTGTTGGCAACGGCTCGAAATTGTTTTTCAGCTTGTGAATAAAAGCTATTGAAAAAACAAGCACATCCTGCTAGCTTGCTGGGCCTATCAGGCCAGATGGATTAGTAGAAAACCTTGCATGTTGAAATGTTCCGCAGTAGGTAGGTCATCACGGATAAAAGCAACGATCGTCACCAAACGAATATAAGCAATGCGTTTGCGTTTGATAAATCTCAAGTTATTATTAACAACAGTCTCATAGTTCTCGAAGACTGGTCCGAAACTTGGTAGTGAAGTATTACATAGCTCAGCATAAATAGTAAATAATTTGCAACTTACATTTCGAACGTTGCTGACAGAGCGGATGACAGGTTTATGGACCAAACCCCGGAAGTCGTTGACTTTCAACCAAATGCAAGAACAGGAGGGGAAAATACTGCTGCCGGTGGAGTAAAGGAAGTTCATTGTACGTAGCAATTTACATCTCTGTGAATCGTTATATTTATCAGTTAAAGTGTCGAAAGTGTAATTCTTCGATAATGATATTAAACAAACCTATACAATAAATAGCAATACAATAAATTATATTATCCTGTCATGTTGTAGCCAATGATCGGAGGGTTGACAGCCAAGGAGATGGGTCTAACGCTGGGAATCAAGATGACGTGCACTCGACAACAGCCTCAAATCAGAACCGACAGAAATGATGCCAGAGAATGGACGGTTTCAGCTATCATTTTTATTTGTTAACTGGCCCCACCAATGTTATTATGAAATTTTGTAAATATATTAAATTTAATTTAAATTCTCCTTCATTTATATATGAGGTAACGTACAAGCATCCAGAGTATTATGTCCAGGGTAAAGCTGAATGCATCTGGCAAATTTGAATGTTAATCAAGCTAAATGTCTAGTCTACCGGTGCACACTTTACAAAAAAAAATGTACACCCGTTATCTGTTAAGAATTTTATATATCAGAAAGAGGAAACTTCAAGATAAGCGTAGTGTTTTCATCTAGCCTGATATACAGGACGACCCAAATAAATCCGAATAGACTTTCTCCGTTAGTTCGCTGCAGTAATCGATATTCTTTCTTCTAGCGTCGAGAATACTCACGGCATAGGGTTAGTTTTTGGAATACGAGCGATGTGTCAGCTAGATTTGAATCTCCTACTACTGCCCGAAATCGACGGGCTTCGGTATTGCCGTACATTGTTAGGATGCTTCTGAACGATTCGTGGAAGACTTCGGATTATGTCTGAACATAATTCAAAATGGCTGAAAAAAGCAACTTCATATAACCCTAAATGTTCAGTTATAAAACTCAATTTATTTCATTCCGCTAATAAAATTGATAAACGATAAAATTTGCATAATCAAGTGTACAACATACTCTGAAATATGCCTGTCTACATGAACATATTGAACTGGCTATGTGTTTTTTTTTTGTAAGCCGGCCAGAATATCTAGAGCACCTAATTTTCTTAGGTCGACAAATATAGCTCTCATTGGGGTTGTGCTGTTCTTACGCTTTGTTAATTAGGTGATAAGATCCACGCGCTACTAACTTTGATCTTCATCTGCGGTCGATTGAAAGGGATTAAGTCTACATTCGCTATCTTTAACCTTTGTGTCTGCACAAGTGTTACGGTGTACGGAAAAAGCATCCCGTTTTTTGGATAGTTTTGATGAACACTGAGGTGTTGGTCGATAGACATCCTAGACGATTTGTTTTACGTGAACGTTCCGCACGAGCTTCAATGCTACTTGTTCGGACATAAGCTCAAGAGGCTCACACACTAATAACTTCCCGGAACAGAATTCCGCAATTTGCAAACTCGTCTTGATTGATAGTTCTGCGACTTTTCGATTGCGACAGCGTTGACCATGGTCTGTTAATGCTTTATCTATGTGATCAAGGACAAATATCCCTGTTATTATTAGTGCCAGTGTTGGCAAGTTGTAACAAGGTTGATCTTGAAACAAAACGAACTTCCACAAATGATTGTTAGCGAGCCTTTGCCCTTGTAAATTGAATGACGTTTATGTCAATTTTAAAGATAAAGCTGAGTAACTTAGACGTTCAGTTTGAGTTTTTAGTGCGTATTTCCGGTAGAATTTGCTTGGCCTCTATATTAGGAGATCGTTCCCGGTTGGCGATAAGGATGATAAGTCCTTAATGAGGAAAAGGGAGCGTGAAGAATAACGCATTGAATTTAAATACGTTCGTTTTGAACCGGTAATGACGTTACTATGAAAGGTGCCCTTGATTAAACCCGGAGAGTATCCCTACTTGTGCCAACCTTGTCTACGAATATTCTCGAGATAGAATCGAGCGCTGTTTTAAAGACACGAAGAATATTGAATAGAAAGATTGATTTGGACTAGCTTAGCATTGCCAACAGAGCGTACTGCCGATTTTGATTCAGGAAGGGATTTGATAAAGATGTGTGGGTGTTAATTCAGCTCTTAAATCATGACATTTTATAGCACTTAACGTACGGAGGAAGTTGCTGAGCTTCCGCTTATATATATATATATATATATATATATATATATATATGCATACCAAGTCAAAAATGTAAGATGGATTTCGGATGTTTTACGTGGATAAAAGCCTGATGACGAGTAACCAGCAGTTGTTATTTGATCTGCCGTTTTGTGATGATTTTGTCCTGTTTTCACTAGTTTTTTTCGTATTATAAGGAAAAGTACTTTTTCAATACTAACAAACAGTGTTAAAGGTGTCAGTATTTTTCAACTAATTATCTATTTTTAGTGTTCTACTCGTTGCGGTTTGACTGTATGAACCTACAGATAACAAAGTCCTGCGCGAAATATGATGACGAACTCATCGATGAGTTTCATCAGGGTCCACACTGTGTACGATTGTTTGCTGCACAAATGTGTACAATTTTTGTTCCTGCGAATAATCTTGTAAGTTACCTGTACAATCAATTACATGCAGTTATAATTGACATGGAATAAAGTCTTTAATTTTGACTCGAGCAAAAAATTCCCTAGTAATATAACTTTTCCTTTGACGAATACAATATTTCGAGAGACACATGATCTGCGACATTGGTAAAAGTGGGAATGTTAGAAGTGGCATCAGCTGAAATATAAACAGAGCAATGCTATGGGAGAGTTCTTTGCTCAGCCTGCAGCAGGCCCGCAAAATGTAGGTCGTAACATGTTGTCTTAGCTGAAGGTCAAACTGGTTGCTCCACAACGGATTTATACGCACGGCGACGACATCTTGACGACTTTGATAAGGACAGCTAAATGCATGAATAGTTGACACACAGTATAAGGAGTCAACCATGAGACCATTTACAACTGCTTTCTGTACTAGGTTACCAAACATGTCTGTCACAGTCGAAGTCTGTCAACGAGAAACCTAATTTGATTAAGCTTGGGGATCAAATGCGTGACATTTTTTTTGGCACAGATGAAAATTACACGGCAAACCTGACCTCCTAGTCGAAAGCTCGTGTCGAAATTCGTAGCCTCGCGAGAAGGATAAGAGCTCCTTCCTCCGTGAAATAAGCCTTGGGTTTTTACTGAAATTTGCTTCACCAGTCACTTTTAGATCCATATAATTATTCCTCCTACCTAAAAATAAACACAAGACAATACTTGTGCCACTAACTAAGCTAGTAGCTAGATAGAATCTGTAACAAGTTTGTTTATTATTATATATTCGTGTATAACTAGTACCTAAAGCATCTCATTGAAGGTTGTGCATACGCCACTGGGAGAACTGAGAAGTCTTCTATCGTAGTCACAAAACATCTGCTCCCTAGATCACTCCCTAGACAAGATCCCTAGAGTATGTGCAGACGAAACAAGCGAAACTACAAAAAGTAGTGATTCAGGTGTCATACAAAGCCCTTTTAGCTTGTTGGTATATAACCATGAATATTCTGGAGAATATATGAACTACGACGGTCTTTATTGATGATACATTTATTCGTATTGTGAATGTATGACATTTTTTTATTATTATAATTTTGCAAAAATGGCCTATCGTCTACGTTTATGTATACTGGGCATGTTTTTTGCCCAGTTTTTTCGGGAATTGTTGTAGTTTTGGCTTATCCTTGCTTTGATGGCCAATGGTTTGACACGATGCTGCATCTGGAGGTAGTCAATAGTAACACCATCGTCGAAATAAAACGTTACCAGATTATGATGGAGCTTACGTGCAAGATGCATACAAGGCGAACACCCCACTTTACTTTAATAATGATTTGTATTATGCTGAACAGAACCGGTGGTGACGGGAAACTCATAAACACGTCGAGATAAATGGTGAGCGATTACCAGCGTTATCAGCTGGGTGTCGACCGCTAAACAGAACGAACTTTATACATAGACTTCATATATATATCATATACGTATATATATACTTCATATACGTATCATGTAAATATTTTATTAAACTGTAAATTATGTTGCGCAATCACTATGACGTAGCTAATAAAGTGTTCACGGGTAATTTGTGCTAAATAAACATTAATCAGATTTCTTATTTTCAAGTTAAAATAGTTGTTTCATTTACGAGTGTCAAGGGCCATATGTTCGATGCGAATTCTAGACAATCGCTTAGAAGATCTCATAGTGAGTGTCGAAATTTCTCACGGATCTGTTATTAAAACGTTTTTACTTTAGTCAAGCCGGTGGCTTAAACATTGTGCGGCTGAGTGAATAAACGCGAAATTACGTGCATGTACGTGGCCGACGACATTATCGCCCTTCGACATCTATACATCGTAATACTACACGTCCTTCGTTGTTGGAGTTTTCATTTGAACAGGGGCGAATGATAACGAACCGTTCACGTGCTTTATATCTGTACTACATAGACTAAGTCGCGCGAGAGAGACAAATAAGGGGTTCCTGACTTTTATTAGAGTCAAGTGTTACCTGTCGGTGACGACTGATATATCCTGCCTCTTCAGCAATACAGTCGCCTATCATGATTTTCACCAAGAATTTTTCTCTTAAATTTGTGATTTCCTTAGGACATAAATTGAACTAGGATACCTAACACTAACTAGACAACAACAACAAACGGTTTTTGTGTATCTTAATTTGGCCAAGCGCGCTGCCGTGTGAGACTCTTAACGCGACAAGATAGACGGTGAACGCCTTCGATTTTGGAGTCATTGAAGGTTGAACGTCGTAGTCACCTACCTACAGCGTCTTTTAATGCACAACTGTATAAACGACAAAATGGTAACAGGATTCAATTATTTATGCACGGCAGATGTTAAAAGGTAAGACTTAACGGTGTCCTCTCTGACCTATCTTAGATATAACAAATAAATAATGTAACGCACACTTTTATGGAATACTTTATCACTCTCGGGATTTTCCTAGCACGACATTTCTTCAAGACTGTTTTTCTCTGATTTGAAATAAAAGAAATCGAAATTAAGCTGATAACTCTGCGTATTGGACATTTTTTCTATTAGTCCATTCGAAACTGATGTTACCGGATGAGAGCTTGGTCCAAAGAAGGTGCAAAACTTTACAATCATGACTGAAAACAGCACTCCGTAGCAGTGATCCAAACAACAGTGTACGGAATTGCAAAAGCATTGGCGGCCACAGAAGATCTGCAGCTGCAGTTCCTGCAATAACAGGTTCCAGCAACGACTAACGGAAAAGCGATGATAGACGTGAAACAACGTGCCCTTAAAAGCTAATTGATTGCGTGTAAAGGTGCATTTCGAATAATCCTACTATCAGCATAACCATGTTAATGGCAAGGAAACTTCAGGCAACCGCTGATACCGTGTATTACTGGCTTAGGCCTTAGATACACGTTTTTTGTCATAAACAGCAACTTTCTGAGGTCAACAAAATTTTTAGACACATTCTATTGTATTGTGTCCGCTCGAAACGAGTTTTCTTATCAAAGTTCGTGTTCTGAGCGTGGTGCCTAGTAGGGGAAACGTCATCCCATCATCCCGCTTCTGAGAAAGAAAACATGTAATTAAAAACATTGATTTGTGTGTTTTAGAAAGTGTTAAACTGGATACCTGAAGTGTCTAACAGAACGGAAAAACTTTTTCCCATATGGTCGTACCAGTCAATTAGTGGAAGGTTGACTGTTTCAGAATACAAGCATGGTCTTCTGGAATGGAAGCCTATAACTACCGAATAGTTTAGAGTTGAACTCGCTAGGTTATTATCTATGAGGAGAGAGGTCAACAAGCCCCAACATGAGGTCGCCGATTCGCTTAGTCGTGTTATCAAAGAGGGGTTCGCACGTTTGCAGCAGGGACCGTTGAAACGAGCTTACGAGTAATCTAAGTCCCCCTGAAAGTTCCGCACAGTAACGTATTGTATGCTTTAGCAGTGGTTGGCAGCTGTGTTCGCTTCATCAGGCTTGTGCTGCTTCGAAAGGCTAAAAACTCTGCAGTTTTCCTTGGATCTTTGATGGGATCTTTAGGGACAATTTTCATATAGCAAGATTTCATATAGCCTGAGGGCCAGAGGAGAAAGACGGAGTCGGTCCTTTAACAAAGCTACTCTTACAGCCAAGCTAGGCCAAAGGTGATGATGATCCATAGGTTTAGATGAAGCCCTGCTATGCTGTTAGAAGCCGGCTCTTGAATGGCCCGGGTATCGGCACACCAAAAAACCATGTTTGATTCAGGGACGAAGCGAGAAACGCTCGAAATGTTTGCACCGTTCTCCAACGTCAAAGGACTGCGTGATTTCAGTACCACTTATCACTTTGGTGCGGTAAAGTCTGGAGTGATGATCATAATTATTCATAATGTGGTACATATGTTAGGAATACTGCTTCACTGAGATGAAATGTTATGATAGTGAAGTCCCCAAAATTTTCTTGCGTGACATATTATTAACAGCATGTAGGATCTTAGTTTAGCTTGTTATATAGGTATCTACGCATATCTCTTAAGTAAAAAGTTACATGTTTAGGCCATTTGTATCTTTGATTTTTCTATAAAACCGGTATCGAAAACGGCCGGTTTCCAATATGCTCGGGAGGCAGTGATCCATATAACCCCACAATCCTACGTCTATATATATTGATAATGTTATGCATGTATCTCGTTCAGAGCAGATGCAAAGGCTGAAGCAGGTGTGGCCAATCTGGCTAATATATTAGCGACCTTATTTAGCCTACTGACTGTGCAAACTCCATAGCGATGTATGTGGGTAAGAACGGACCCCTCTATTATTATCAGGCCAGTAATAAGGACAAAATTAGTTTGGCTACTACACAAATTTGGATTACAATGTGCACGTGAGGAAAGGCATGATTACTAAACGTTAGCTTTTAGCTGAGCTGAACTGAGGAAATGGCTGTATTTTACGGTATACGACTGCAATTACGGAAGCTTATAAATTTTTAACCTACAAAAAAAAAGGTAAATAAATTTGAGATAAGCACACTGTCAGTAGTAATGCGTAGGCGAGTCCATTAGTAAGTCAAAAAATACAACTATAGCGTGACATAACAAAATAATCGACAGGAAAGTAATAAATCTCAGTTTAACAGATGACCTACGCGATGACCTTTGAATAAAAAAGTTGGGAAAGATACTTAAAAGTAGACCGAATCTAGTTCTATTGGTCATACGCAAAATGCTATGTCGAATCATAGAGAAAAGGAAATACCAAGCACTAATATGAAAAAATAACATTAATTTATTTATTTATTTAACTGTAGTAAAATAGTAACACCTTAAAGTAGAGTAAAAATAGTAGCGTCTTTAAGTAAAGTAAAAAAGAGCGTAGCTCTTTGGTACTGTATCGGAAACGCATTTGGCTGAATCGTTAACCTATATAGCAACAGATATAAACCTATCTGGATTCGTCCACTAATTTCTACTATTTGTTCTTTAACTATCTGCGGCAAGCATTTGTTACTGCGGCCGACGTGGTACAAGCCTGACACGGAGGCCTCCTTTTGCCCGAGTAACTACCTCGAAGCAGATTTTCAGTTTGTGGATAGGCCAACTAGGTTCCACGCGGTAATGGCGAAGGAAATGAGCCAGAATTATTTTCATTTCGAGCAGTGCCACCTACAATAAACATATGTGTGAATTATTATTTGCCACCTCTATCGGGATAGTGCTTACGAATATTTAGAGTTAAATAACATTCATCTGTTCACGTTAAGGCTGTTTTAAATCGCTTCGATATGAAATAATTTACGGAATATGGGTACATGTACAGTGCGGCACGCCGGCATACGGCAGCTTCGTTGCTGAGCGGGCCGGCCGGCCGGCCCATTTTCGCCGAAATTCTCAAATATCTTCCGTGTTCAATTTTGATGTGGAGGTACTTTTTAGATGAGTCTAAGGGGCTTTTAAGCAGGCTTTGTGAGTTTTTTTTGTATTGTTTTCATATTTTTTAGCCAAGCTTGAATTTACTATTTAGCTTTATTGCACTACCATATTATCAATAATACTTTGAATAATACAAAGTGGTCCCACGAAGTGGGTCAAACGGGAGCCGTAGAGAGAAACTTACAGACATACAAGTCGTTTGATGTGAACTTTAACACACAAACCGTAAATCACAACGACGATTTCTTATTGCATTAATGTTTGTACTCCAAAAACACAGTCTGTGTATTTATGGCAAAGAAAAAAATCCATTGTGCGTATTCCGTTCACCGAATAGATTGTTTGTATTTTAAAGCCTCGAATTTTACTGTCTATGTGGACCACATACAAGATTTCATTTCGTCCAAGCTTTGCATTTCATGCCTGATAACTTCTTTGATCGTCTATACTAAACAGTATTGGGAAAATAATAAAACGTAAGCTTTTAGTGCGCATTTGATCCGAATCTACAAATTACAACAAAAGAAAATCGACAAAGGAAATTTTATCGGAAATGAGCGATAAACACTAACTTAGCGTCCGTGTCGATATTATCCAAAAACAGAATAATTAACGCGTACTCATATGGGCTTATTTAGATGGATTCTGTCGAATGCATAAAATGTATCAACTAATCAAACGTCAACACAACAATAGCTTCATCCCACCTTTTGACCGATACAGTTACGTGGTCCAGCAGAAAACGGGATGTAAGCGAAAGGGCTGTCGGGCCTCCGACCGCCAAAAAAACGATCAGGGCAGAATCGCTCCGGGTCAGGAAAATACTCAGGGTCTCGATGAAGTTGGGATACGAGTGTAATCAGCTCGACACCACGTGGAATAACGTAGTCACCCATCTTCATGTCTGTCTCCAGTCGACGCCCTATTATTGGTATTGGAGGAAATAGGCGCATGGCTTCCTGAAATGTAAAGAAGTGTGTACTTTTTTCAAGGCGATTATAGCGATTCATTTACTGGGTTAAAAAGATACATATTGATTTCAGTTTAATCTTACCTATGACGGATTATTGAAATACTTACAGTTCGATGTATAGTTAAATTCCCAGTTTTCTGGTTGTGCTTAAATATTGCTGGCGTATTTTCAAGACGTGGCTATGGCAAAAGCCTCAAATACTGTTATATTTTTTCTACCACTACTGGTTACAGAGCGCACCAAAGAGACCGTAATTGAATAACGCATCTTACCTATTACTTCGTCCGCTTAAGAGCTCCGGTTTTGCACTGAGATTTGTCTCAACTTCGCGCACCAGAACCGAGCTCACTCAGAATTACAACTTTCATTTCTATTATCGAATAGCAATGCTTTTGTTTCTCCACATATGACTAACGATGCAACGGGAAGCTGACGTCTTTTAAATACAATTAAGCTCAAGTTCTATCAGAAAGTAGACTATAGTTCCCTGGAATTTGGTCATCAAATCATTTAGAAGAAAAAAAACGCCTGTTTCAGAGAGCTCAAAGAAATCACTCAGTAATCAATTCGAGACCTCTTGAATTCGAGGCTTCACGTGTCGAAGCCTTGCTGAGAAAGCAGCACAGATATTACTCAACAACTTGTTTTTAAAAAGTTAGAAAACAGATCCGCTTCGAAATTGAAATGGAACAATTTGGGGACGCGTTATATGTCGATATCCACGAAAATGAATTTGCAGTTCACAGAAGTCTGCCCAGATCTACAATTGAAACCCAGCCTTTCTTAAGGAAGGTGGTAGTGCCATATCTCGTTGGGAGCTTACCAGCTGACTTATGTGCTACTTTAAGTTTGAGCGCAAAAGTAATTCTAACCTCTAAGATGAACTAATTTGTTTGCTGTCTTAATTAGCTAATTCGTTACGTTATTGCAGCAATATTAATCTTTCGATACATCTGTAAATTTACTTGCTCCGTACTACAATAATGGGGGTGGCCCACATGCTCGTGAGGCGTATCTGTTCTTGTATCAGTGAATCGGATTATTGGGGTATCGTAAGTGGTAGAACCTGCATGTTGAATGATGAGCTGAGACCTTTCGCTTACCATTCAACAAAGGTAACAAAACAGTCATCTCATTTGTAAAAATGACTCGTTCGTCCATAACCTCGTATTTATTTTGTTAGGTAGGATTATTTCAGTTAAGGCATCTCATTAGATAAATTCGTATAAACGCCCTATCCGATATTATATTTAGTGTAATTTTCAGAAAGGCACATAAGCGTTATATATATATACACAGAGGAAGGCTGATGTTGAACTAATCGTCTGGCCGAGAGTTTGTCTAGCGTGCCTTGATTAGTCCTGGTGAACCTTAATGGGTAACAATTCAACAACGTAAACGCTTTATCCATGAATTTCTAAAACATATTATTAGCATGCTTTTTAAATCAGGAAGAGCAATGTAATTACGAACATCTCAAGGGATTTTACTAATACACAATTCAAGCATCTGTTTTTCATAAGACATTATGCTGTAGGTCTGCGTCATTGTAATTAATAGTAAGTGATATACAGTTGTGTGCTCGACCGTCTAACATACCTATTTCAGTGATTTTGCCGAACATTTTACAACAAGTGAAATCGTTAATACGATTCTCGGACCGCCCAACTAGCAGATTTTCAAACTGAGTGAAACCTATGACAACGCATCATCAAAGAGGCGATGGCGCTTGCATCGTGTTGGACGACAAGACCTCTATAGATGGTGGAAAATTTCCCAAAAATTTGTAGAGGATTTCCTTTTGACTACAATGGCAGTCAGTAACAGTTCATTTAAAATCATGGAGAAAATCATGAGAACTATGGGGTATCGAAACGAGCCAGCGCCCAACAGACAACAGGGTTTGCCCAGTAGCACAGCCTACGCGAGTTGCTGTTCTTGCTCGTCATCAGTTACTTACCCCAACCCTCTAAAGCAGACAACGACCCTATCTTGTAAAAATGATTCTTCATGTTAGCGATATCGCTAGGTACAGCAACGGCAGGTTGCACCTACAACAAGCGCTAGCGATAGTATGAAACCATGTCGGCCTCTAGATAAGTAAGGCGAAGACTGGAGACACAAAATTGAGACGATAAGGCAGCCTCGAAAGCGCTATTCGTTTCTTTTGGACGGAAAAAAGGCTTAGGAAAAGTCGTTCTCTTCATATAGTTTGGCTTAACCTCAACGATATTTGGAAACATTACAACCCAACTGGAACAATCCAGGAAAGCAATGAAGACCCTTAGCAACTATGCGATAGGCACTGCAGTCAAACTGCTTAGTCTGAGCCATCAACTATCATTTACAATATCCCGATCAACTGGGAAATCTGAGCACCGGATGTTTACCAACGATAGGCAAAACTGAAGTTTCGTGTTTGATGGCATTCGACCGTCACCCTTCGAACTGACACCGCTTGCTGTATTTACCCCTTGCTGTACCGAAATGTCTGACGACGAAACAGTAGCATATCGCATAGTGAAGGCTGAATAACAGAAGAGGAAAAGGAGCTACTCTTCGCTCTTCAGACCCTAACAATGGCTGCGAACTCATCAACAGAGCTATTCACTAGCTTTGGAGTTCACGGATTCCATTTTCTCATTTGCAAGATAGAAGGATATCGTAAGACAGATGGAAACAGCATTTATATATATCGTAAAACTAGGTGCTGTAGAGACCGTTCCGGGCAATGGAGCCAGGTAAGACTAGTTTCAACTATCCAGTTTTTTAGAATGAACTGTAACAATATTTGTGGTAAAGTACCTTTAAAGTAACATCATCAAAGGGCGTCACAAACATAGATGTACGATAAACTTACTTTAGCGCAAGCGTCGAGATACTTTAGCTTCCTTAAATCTTCTTGTGTTATATCTCTGGTGAAATCATCCCCAAATACATCATCTATTTCATCTAAAACACGCTGTTCGCTCTCTTTATGCAAACCCAGCAAGTAGAGGGTGAAGGCCACCGTAGTCGCAGTTGTATCTTGCCCCTACGACACAGTACAGATAGATTAGAAATGATATAAGTAGAGAAAACAAATTAAAATTTAAAATTATGCTTTGGCCTGGACTGAAGGAATGTACATGTGTTAAATGTTTTGGCATGTAGTGTAAAACAGGTGAAGTTTCGCAATCGAATTGTGGTAATTTCCTAATTAGAGGGTCACTGAAATATGGTGACGTATCTCAGTCTTTAGCTGAAAACCTTATTGGTCTGTGATATTTCATATCTAGCGACTTGTTATATTTGGAAAAACAAAATTATCGCAACATGTGCAATAATTCTATTAAATTTAAGTGTATTGTATAGAAATTGTATAGAATGTTACTTTTAAAATAAATTTACATTTGTTCGGGAAATAGCGTTCACGTTAGAAGCTCACTAATGACTCAGGCATATACGCTTTCGAAATTCAACCGTGTTATGTAACTAAATCGAAATACTACTTAAGCCGAGTACGAACCGCGAACAGAACCGTATCGACCTCCTCTCGAATATGTTCGAGTGTAAGCTTAGGATCGCGGAGATGCATCGCTAATAACGTGTCCAAGAAAGAGGTTCCCGTTTTTGGAAGCTTCGATTGTACATCATCTTCATCCACGTCATTCAACAACAGGGGAGTCGCTCGTGCATTTGGATCGTACTGAAAGAAGACCAACAAAATCTTGTACTAAATAGCTAAGATCAATACGTACCTCAAGGTTTAAGATTATTAGTGTCACAAACACACAGGACGAGGACAATTAGCAACGTTTTTGACATACGTGAACGCCGCCAAGATATGTTGAATCGATCCTTTAGGTCAGGCTATGTGAAACTGGCTACAACTGGAGATAACCCCGACCCATTAAATCCCCAGGGTTTTGAGCTAATCTTAATAGTTCACTTTTCTTGTTTCATGTCAGTAGGCTAGAGTTACTGAGGTAGTACTTCAGCACTCTGTAGTAATAGTATGCTTTGAACCCCTTTCAAAGGAGGCTGAAACCAGGGTCCTGTATTGTTTTTCTATTTTCCGTTGTTTTCTGTTAACACTGTTGCCAAAGTCCGTGTCGTATGACTTCCCTGATGCTCGTTTATTCCGATTACTACGTTCTATCATCTGGTGACCTCTCTTCATTTCACCGGATTTCTTGTCATATGCTTTACCATTTCGCTACGTGTTTTTCCTTCATTGGTCTGGTTCTTGCATCGTTTAGGGCCTCACAACGTAGAACTATATGTTCTAAGTTGCTCTCCTTGCCGTTATCGGAAAGGACGCATACATTTATTTCGACTTTGTTTCCTTTTCGAATTAGCCGTGGCAGATCGATCAATAGCGCTGTTATCGCGCTGCCCAGGTTTGAATTACCATGATTAACTCAATACTTAAAAACGAAGCTAAACATAGTAACTTAGAGTAAAGCACTTCAAAATAAAAGTGCAAACTAGAATGAAACTATATGTATTCATTTGAGGAACGGATTTTCCCTTGCTCGAATGCGCCATTCGGTCTTCTTAGAATTAGCACATTATGAAGATGCACGTAGCTGTCTTCAGTCAGTCAGTCAGAAGATGTCTTGCCTCATCAATATCAAGAATTGTATTTCTGCAAAACGCACAGAAGCCATTGCTAAGTTTTCGTGTTACATGGCTAAACGTGTTTCCGAGAGATACTCGTCGCAGGCAACATTTGGTATCAGAACCGTGAAAGAAAAATGAGCCTACTAAATTTGGTGGTTATACATGCACTACCGGCTCCTTGGTAATCTGCCAAAGCAAGAACTAAGCGTACGGCATTCAACGCCCAGGATTGAAGCTAGGCCTAGGTCTAACTAGGGAACGGCAAGCTCATCTCATTCCGTAAAGTCTTAACGAACATTATATTATCGGCAAAAACATCGCTGGTGTGTAGGACCCTGATGCGTCCTTCATCAATGAAATCGTCACGGCAGAGGTCTCAAAGAAGACTCATCGAAGTCACCGTTGTTAATACACAGCCATCCAGTATGACAGTTACCTTTTACAGGCAACATGTCGAAACATGGCAGTTACTATTCTTAGTGGTCCAGCAGGTACAATATAGACATAGTACGGTTGCGTTTCCATTACGTATAATTATTAGTGCTGAAATAACGTATTGTATTTATCAATGCAAATTTTTAGTTACAGAGAATATGGACTTGTTTGACTAGGAACGGGTCATCTTTTCTAAACGAAAGCGCTCAACTTGTCACCATCTCAGTTGCCACTCTATCACAGTGGCAATTAAAATATCGCCCATAATTTCAATTGATTATATTCTTTTGAAGAAAAAAAGTCTAGTTTAGATTAGATATTTTTGTCGGGCCTGGGCGTTGAATTGGTAGAACTAACGATGAACACAGACACACCGATTGCTCAATAAAGAAGAACCGCCGGAAAGAACTCGTTTTGTAAAATGCGACTCTAAAATATAGTACAAATAAAATGAAGAGTAATAAAAGTCGAACATATTTTTGAGCACAATATCAGTTATAGATATAATCCATAAGGAATTAATTGAGACTTCTTATGAATCTCTAAGGTCTGAATTGAGATCCGGATAAAATTCGATAAAGTCTCACAGAGCTCCATATGAGAAGTAACCCTGCCTCGCTTAAAATAGATTAATGCATGTTTCACGTAGCACCTTTACTTTCAGTTGTAGCGGTCCATAGCAATGGATCAGATATTCACTAATGACATGCAACAATATATAGGCTAAAATAGACTTTTCGGTAAGCATTGTTCTTACGGTAAAGTAACTTCTTAGGTGTCGAAAAAAATGGCAAGATGCCCTTCTTTGCCTTTCTAGTAATACGAGCCGTCACTGAAGTTTCTTTGACGAATAACGGAAAATCGCTGTCAATATTCGGAGGAGTGTATGAGAAAAAAAAACAGGGCATACCAGACAATATCCAGTACAAGAAATTTTCATCGGTAGGACAAACCTAATCCTGTTATGGGGATATATTCTAAATGCGTTACAGATGCCACCGTACGTTATCTCTCCTTCCTTTTCCTTTCATATCCTTAGATCTGCTATTAGGTTTCTAAGCCAGCTTTCCTTGCTCATCCTCTGGGTCTCACTGTTTTTCAACCATGCTGCCAAATGTCGATGCTAGCCTTTCAGGCCATGGTCGAATTTATATCATCGTTTAGTTCCACTGGGCCGTAGCGCATCATCCAACACCTTAGTTAACGTTTCTATTTTACAACCTTTAGTAGCTATTGCTGGTTGTCAAAATATTTCCGTTACTTGCATGGAGTACGATGCTCATAATTACGTGATAGCACTACGTGGGCGTAACATCAAGCCAAACAGATAAAATTAAGCAAAGCCGATAGATTTTGGGCAGGACGCTCAATTTGACAAGCCCCCCCCCCCCCCCCCCCTCTCTTGCTGAACCTCTTTACCTCAGTGTACATGCAGCTTCGAAAGTTATATTAGCGCTAAGGTTTTAACGTGGCAGCGAGTAGTTATTTTCTAATGACATTTCTTCGAGAAGCTACGAAACAGAAAATATTAAGAGTTTCATAGACATCATACGTTGTGGCTTTACCAAATTAGAGAAAAAAACATTTCTGCAGGGAGTCATCACAGATCAATAAGCATAATGGATATCGTATGATAACGCACATATATCATTTCTAACTTCAAAGTTTATGGTCATCTAAGATGATTTTCTACAATATATTTTTCTTTGAGATTACCTATTAATATCATATACATTTTTTTTTTTTTTTTTTTATAAATAAATCTAAATAAAATCGTTTACAAGAAAATATTTTACACGTTTTTTTGCTTCGTACATAAGCCTGCTACACGATTTCGCCTTTTTTTTTAGGTCACAATTTACAAGACGAACACTTCTCTAGACATCTCTCCACTAAGAGGATGTTAGAAGATCAATTTAGTTATATTTTTTTACCTTTCTTTTTATTTACTTGTTTAACTGAAAGTGAATGCATTTAATAAGCATTGGGAACTTTTTTATTGCCAAAGCCGCGGACAGAATTACATCGGGCATGCCAATTACGTAAGTGACCTTCAGTCGAACGCTTTCATGGTAGCTGATACTTAATTGGACTGTTCCGTAATTGCAAATGGTAGTGTAATATAATTTATGTTAGATAATACAAGCCATCCTAGAAAATAACATGGTCTCCATTTAACGATAACATGTCAGGTGTTAAAATTACCTTGCCAATCTCTTTGGTGTTCTCACTAAGGTTCACTAGGTAATCGCGTCGTGCGCGTATGATTGTTCGGGACCAATGATGAAGGACCTCACAACAGCGTCGCGCCGCTCGACCTTCGTCCAACATTTCGTAGATCCAATTCGGCCAAACCCACGGGCGTAGCGTGCGAGCTATAACCAGGTACTGAAACCTATATTTAAGTTACTAATTAGGTAACTCTATATATATATATATATTGCCAAAGGGAATAAATAATATATAAATACGAACATGGACAGGGCTAGGTATGACAAGTTATTATAGGTGCTCAATTTGACCAACTTACATGGCTAAGGCGTAGCTGTAGGTACTTTTTCGTTTTAATGACTCCATCTTAAACCCCATTGTCGTGTCTGAAACAGAAGATGGCCTTATATGTGCCTTTCCTTCAGTTCCTTTACATAACGTACTTCTAGACCTACATCTTATGTACTACATTATTGGAAACTATTTTACGATGGAAACGAAATTATTGAAAACGGCTCATACACATTATGAAAAGTCGTAAATGTAGTTCCTATTACGGACGAGTGCGGACTTCGATCGCACCCGTATTTTCTAATAATTAACATGACCACTTACCTCCTACGCAGTCAAGCGTCAGTTTTGATATTTCGTAGAACAAACGGATGTCTTCTTTTTGTGGAAGCGCGTTTAGGTAGTCAACAAACTCGGCGCAGCGTGCATTAATGGTCGGTACATAATTATCCAATGTTTTAAAGTGGAATGCCGGCGTTAGCAACTTCCTGCGTTGTCTCCACTCATTCCCTGTGCTAAAAGATTTCAACAAAGCAAAACAGGATTTCTCAAAAGATAGAAAAGTTGTCACAATTAGTGATGAAGCAGCTTGTTAATTTCATATACAGTAGATCATCTGCCGAAATCCGTTTCTGCCGAAACACACTTAAAAAATATTGGCATCAGTTAAATTTATATACAGCGAACGTATAGTTAGTAGTGCGATTTATAATGCTATTACTTTGAGCCTAGAGTATACAAGCGAATATATGTACGTGTAGGGGATTTTGTGCCCCTTGAGTTTTGCACGGAAGTTTTGCAGACGGCACATTGCTGACGTCAAACGTTAAGAAACAAAGGATATATACGTGATAGTAGGACGGGAAGTAAAAACAATAAATTAGAAAAATTATAAATTTACCCGGTTAATTAATGAATCGTTTAGTTTATATGGCCTCCGCTTTTAAAATTCAGGGTTCTTCGTTACTTTGTTGCCATGCCTAATAAGCTTCCAAGCCTGTAGCTGAACGATATATGAACTCTTAAAACAAGCTTATTAGAATGAATGTAAACGTCAGAGCTAGGGAATTGTCACAAATCCGTACTCCTACAATTTGCGAGAATCAGAAAATTGAGAAGAGCCTATTTTTAGAAAAATAATAATGATGGGTTTTCAGTGTCTAGTGGTTATATTAGTTGCACAATATTCCTATGAAACAAAACAGTGGTTGCTATGCTACCTTCAGGCTTTGATCATTCAATTCAACACAGTCCAAAGTGCTCGTTCAGATATTTGCCAAAAAAAAAATCGTGTAATCCAAAACATGCGGTGGATCGGACTGATAGGGCCAATAGTTATATTCGACTTCACATGTTTATAGGAAAAACATCAATACAATGTGCCTTCTTTGGGAGTTATCCATATTACTTTATACGAAGAATTTATCTTCCCGGAAAAAAGACATTAGTTGGGTAAAGCGAGTACCCGAACTACGCGCTGGGCGGAAAGGGCACAATCAAAACAAAAATAGAGTTTCTCCCATTTGTCTTCGTCAGCTGGTGGCCGTTTGTTGCGTTTTAGGAAAATATGACCGAAAGGTTTCAACTATAGTATAGGGGGAATGATCTTAAGTTGGTCGTAGCCTGTTTCCCCTTCGCCTTCTAAGGTAACCTTATATTCATTTACCATTTAAAGCTTAGCCACTGCGCTATAGAGTTCGAAAGGTCCCCGGCTATAGTAGATCAAATATTAAAGATACTTTTTACAACCTGTACAGTTTGGTTACCACAATTTATCTTTAGTAAATTGCTTGGCCATTTCCTTATCTAGATCTTGTTAGCTTGTTTTCATAACGATCAACCGATAAAATTATCTGAGCAAAGACTGCCGTTAGCCCCATGTGTAAGTTCATTTTTCTTCGTTAATAACTGCGCATAACACAATAGTGGCCAGTTTGTGTTTATTGCTTTACCCTGTAAAACCATGGTAAACTATAAGATGAGAAAAAGGTCCACGTACTGTTAGCTGACGCTACTACTGCTACTACTACTTAGGCGTGACAAAAAGTGTTTAAACATACTGACAGAACCGTATTGATTTTACGCTTAACTGACAATCGCTTCATCCGAAAAGAAACCGACAGAATTTTATCGATTTTCATTATTATGACAACTGATCCGGAGTATGTTAAGTTGCCAAGTATGAAATACAAGATAGTGAATTTAAGTTCATCAATTTTTTCAAAAGCTAATATAAATACGGCTTTTACCATTTGGGTGACAATCTCTTAATTTCCCTATTGTAGAAGTCTCGGTCTCGAGTGTCGTCTCAGCGTTTCAAAAAGCAATTTTAGCATCATTTTGCTAATTAAGAAATTGTCGAACTGAAAAAAAACGGTAATCTGTGGGAGAAATAACGGGTGAATATAGTGGATAGCAGACATCCTCCGATTGTAGCGCTCTGTATTTTTGCCACCGTGATCTTTGCGGTGCAAAGTGGAACGTGCCTCTACAAAACAAGTAATTTAGTTTATTAAATTATCTTAATTGTTTCATGGTTTGTTTGTTTACCTAATTGCTAAAAGTGCATTTTAGCCGTAATCAATGAACTCAGAACGTATACAGTTGTAGTGGATAATGCCCACTCTAGGCTAGTAAATAGACAACACAATCTATTAAAACACTGCCTTTACTTTAGAGTAATGTCATGATGGTCCAGTTGCATCTGTTCACTGATGTGATCATTTGTGATTATCGAAGAAGATCTACTTTCATCAAGAATAATATAGTGCAATAGTGGGTTACCGTCATAACACGTGAGCACGGAAAGCAAACGTCTCTACGACTCTTTTTGGTCCTCGCCCAGATCGTGTAGTACCGATTCGTCTAATTTTTATAGCTCATTAATTCGACCGATGTGAACGACTATGGTATTTTTATACAAATCGAGCCTGAGTGTTAATACCCCAGCTCTCGACCTCGCAGTCTTCACCGTCGTAGGGAATCTTGCCCAACGGTAACTGTCGAGCTGAAGCTAAGTTGGCTAAATCCCGTTTTGAGTTTTTAGTGAAATATAATATACGTTTCTGCAAACACAATTGGGCAGACAATTCCATCCGTGACGAAACATCGTGCCATTAAGAATAAGCACTTGCCTTCCTCAGAAGTACGTTCCGGGTTCCGAGTACAAACTGTGAAAATCGCGTACAGGCCTCTGTTAATTTAAGTATGACAAAGTTCCCTCCACTATCATTTCTTCTTCAATCCTATTTCAAATATAATGTAAGATATAGCCACAACCCGATGGACAATTAACATTCTCTACGACGTTAACAATAGCGCTTACGGATGGAAATACTGACGTATTTAATTTGACCCACTGTATGTCCAAGAATACGTGAAACACGAGCGCTTCCGCCTTTAACGAGCCAGCTATCGCTTCTAAAATAGATTACTTATTAAAGTAAACTGCCTATCGTGACTGTGGTCATAAGAAGTACCTTGTTTTGTGCGCGTGGCCTTAAGTTGAAGCAACACGAGGACCAACAAACATGGTCAAAGAACTAGCATCTAAAATAGGTTACGAAGTATGGAAGCAGTAATTATGAAACCCTATTGACAATAAATAAAGTATATGGATCATCATATGAATCGGACGTACGCCATGGCTGTGTACGAGCAGTCTACATTTTCGAGAAGTTGAACAGTGAACTTCGGAATAACGGGAAAGGACAGAACGCTCGTTTACCGAAAAATTCGATCGGTAAATGAGTAAAAAGCTAGAAGTTCTGCCAGCCAGCCAGTGTTTTTCAGTAACGAATTCGCGTAAAGTCAGTAAATAACTCACTTTCTATTAAGCGACTAACAATACAAACTTTTTTCTACTTATATTTAAAACTGTGTATATAAGACGCTAATTACAACTACTGGTGATAATAGATTATTGGCTTTACTTATGCGTGCAGCCCCGTTAATGAGACTGTTACATGTAGCAAGGAGGTCCGTTATGCTACTAATACTTCATAGTAAGTTCAGCTATTTATGTGTAAGCTGTGTATAGTTGAGTTACATTGCTTGCCTCTCAAGGGTACGCTTCAAAAGACACGCTCCTGAGAAACTTGCGCCAAACGTACTTGTGAGCGCTAACTTCATCTTTGAGGGTGACCCACAGACCTCACAACAGTATTATTATTATCTCTGATAAAACTAGCCTTTGTATAAATATAATTACGTTTTGATAATTATAAAGTGGGTAAAAACTGCGCATCCCGTTATGGGACTCTCAAAATCCACTTAGATCATGATCATTTGAAGATCATTAAATCAACTCACAGTTTCGCTGTCTAAAATGCATCCATGCCGCTCTTTAGGCACTTGGTATTAGATAGTATAAATTCATTATTGATTGAATTACTTTATTACTTACATCATGCAGCACTTGCACGATACGAAGCACACTTGATGGGACTATCGTTGATTCTAAGGCGGAAACACCTACTTTAAACATGATCTTCAATCCAAGTGATTGTGTATTCGTTAATTTGTTTAACGTTAGCCCATATATAAGCAGTCAGCGGTCTACTTTCGCCACAAGCTTTCAAAGATCAAAGGTAAAAAAAACAGAGAGAAGCTTACTAGGACACATGACGACAGTGCACAACGTGACGTCCGCAACGTATATATATTTTCCATAGCTCTATTTTATCTTACCTGGTAAGGAGTGACAAGCCAAGCCAAGGATAAAGGAAGCGGTAGCTGGAGTGCTTCCCGATGTTCTGGGGATCCGAGAGTATCTTTTCGGCAAATTCAGCTCGGTAGACGACCACACTTGGCTGTAGGCCGAGGTATATCCTGAATAGGCCCTCCGAATCATATGTTTTAGCCAGTGAACGAATCGCATTGCTGAACTCTGATAGAAACGATAAGAGAAGATGATTCTCATCGGCATTTATAGATATCCGGTGAGTTTCAGCTGTGGCAGTTGTACAGAGAGAAAGAGTGTTGTTCGTGCACACTTAAGTCAAAAGACAGTTTAAGGAGTTTCTCTGTCTTTCGCTTGAGTTATTATTTTGATGACCTGTACAAATTTCAAATTCTATCTGTGACTTATGCACAGCGTAAACAAAAGTGATATTCATACACTAGATAGAAACTGGCACACGCCTTCGGTCAACATATTTTCCCGAAAAACAGTAATCAACAAACACCGAAATACGTTGCCCTTTAAAGACGAAACTTTCTCTGTCCACTTATTGTCTTTGTTTGTACAATTCTCAACACTATGCTAAATGATCGTAGTTATGCGTTGGTCAAATGCCAACTTAATTAAAACATCTCAACGACCAGCACTGGGACAAACTTCAGTTAATCATAATTTTCGTTGTCTGCCAAGTAGCTAAAATGAGCATCTAGCCGGAACTTCCCAGTGGCAGCGACGCACAAATGAGCCTATTATCGTTACTCACGCAAGCTATCCTGGGGCAAAGAACCGCAGATGGCACGACATGCATGCATCGAGGATAAATGGGTCGGGAAGCCCATTTGTAGACGCTATTAAGCCACTAATCAAACAGCCAATGATAGCATTGAGAGTAATCACTACGCCATTTACCATGGCTCGAACGTTCACTCTTTAATTTACTTTAGCCTTTTGCTTGGTAAGTTATACCATAGTTGGTGGTAAAATCATTGGGACGATCAATAGTAGTTCCAAAGACGATAGATAGCAAATGTCCAACAATTCCACAATTTTTCTAATGTAAATGACAAACACTTGACAGGTCTTCATTATTATTATTCAGTGTAACTGGCATGTTACATAAGCTCTTTCTGGGACCGATGACAGATCAGCTACAACCAGAGCTTTTTTGCCTTGCATATATTCTATGGTTCGAAACGCGTTAACCGATCAACGAGCATTTTTTATACGTACACAATCAAAATCAAAACGTAGATTAGTTTTTCTAAATAAAAGATAAGGTTTGAAAGCGCTTGAATTCTTGTCAGCTGTTTAGTATGTTTTTACAAAAAAAAATGTGTTGACAAAATAGGACGTTACGTAACGAATACGTGTTCATACTACCATAGCTAAAATCCGTATAGTGCGTATTTGCCGCCTTTTGCGCATATTCCATTAGCAAATACCCTGGTGGAAACCAATCTTGTGGACCAGGCAAGTGATGTAATGCATACCAGATACGCGCGTACTTGTACAGCCATATAAGTGCTGCAAGGCTGACGAAGACCACGAACGTCATGCCGATATACCACTGCAAAACAGGCTGCCATCTTACGTTCACTCCAGTCAACCCGACGTCCACAACCTTCGAATAAGAAACAAAAAGAAGACGATACAATTGCAGAAAATCCCAAATTCACTTTTTCTATACAAACGTATACTTCTGACATGAGCGTATGACTTAGTCAAAATATACTCGTTTACGAGTTACGACTCGAAACACTGCATAGCAAACGTGCTCACTCATAGCCAAAAGAAATAGTTAGAATAGATATAGAACGTAAACCAATAGATAATAATAAATTATTGCTCATAGTATTACTATTATAATTATCATAAAAGAACAAGCGCAAGCAAACTAAGTGTTTATAGATTGTAAAATAAAAGAACGCTCTAACATTATGGAACAATGGTCGCAGTAAGCCAACTATTCCGCATTCGATCCTTAAGGAAGCCCGAATATTTACGAGAATAATTGAATTCACGATCTCACTTGTATTCATATTCAAATTGGACCGCGCAAAATCGGCGAAAATAAGTTGTTTATCATCCTAAGCTTGTTGAAATGATGGTTCATTGATGAATCACTCTGCGATAGGACAATCGCGGTTCAATTAAGAGGAGAGATCATAGTCATGTATTGCTTAGTATAATCTTCAGCGCGTCTGTGTACATACAAGAACCGAAAATCAAGGATTTTTACGAACGCCTGTCTACATACAAGATCGCATGAAAAAGAAACGTCGTCTAATCAGGATTTTCCTTTCGGGAAAATGCTTTTGTCATTGTACATGCCATTTTCCTCTCCAACAAGGAAACTTCTGTGACATTTTTCGGCCATAAAGGTAAGCTTGTCTAAATTGTACGTTTCGAGTTGCGCACCCAAGTCAGTAGATGCCATTTGTAATTTTACTAGAAAATATGTGGAAGAAAATAGAGAAAGTGCTATATCATGAAATAAACAAAATATTTAAACTGTTTTAGGAATATTAGCAGTGAACAAACAGATACGTTATAGGTCTTGCGTTAATTAATATTAAAACTTGCAATATTAAAACTAGTTTTTTCTCAAACGATGTGGTCTTTTGATCTTCAAATAGCCAGGTGTTTTCAATAACCTATTTCATAAGTCAATTTATCTTTTTTTCTATCAGTGCTCGATTCCTTTATGTGTTACAAACTAGCCATACCAAACACTCAAATAAGGAGGACAGTCATTATATGAACTTTTACGCGAGCCAGTCTACTCAGTATAGAGATCTTATAAAACTTGCACTCGTAAGCTTTCTCTTCCTGGCCAAACAGCACTATCAAAATTGTGCCATAAAAGATCATCCAATACTAATCAGGATTTGTTTGATTGGGAAACTTTGCTAACTGAAACTTCCTCATTATATTGTGCTTTGTTTACGATAGACGCTTGAAAAAACGCAACTTTTTCCGTCCGTTAAAAAGCTCGAAGGAATAAATTCGGTTCATCTCAACGGCTGTACAGTTTAAAAGCATATCGTAACATTTTTGAACATAATAAATGAATAATCCGTATACCGTTACGTAAAGTGCACTGATACTTCTCACGCAAAGATAGCACAAAAATATATAAAAAAAAAAAAAAAAAACAAACTTGATCAGTTGTCAAGACTGTTAGAGTGGGGACGCACCTTGGCGATAATAGTTTGATAAGTTACAGCATTTAATTTTGAATTAGTAGCCCATTTTTTATAATTATAACTTTTACAGATATTTGAAGCACGCTTCACTTATGTGTTACATGCATCGCTTTAAAATGAACCAGTCCCAGCATAAGGAAGTACTTTTAAATGGGAATTTCATCCACAGATCCATGCAGCGGGAGGTTTATTTTATACAACAAACATATATACACAACAAACACTACTCTGTTACATTTATGCTACCTTACTTAATCAATAGCCGTTATTGTTGATTGTCGTAAGGATAATTATATAATAATTAGTAACTATTGATATATTAATGCAAAAATCAAATTCGTTCTCAAGATGATATCACATCAGCTGGAAAAAAATCAGCTAACAGGTTGATAACCACTTCTAGATTAGGTAGAATTTTCTAGATCAGGAATTATCTAGCATGGTTCTTTGTACACGGAGTGAATAAATTTCACATTTGCATACAGTATCAAATAGTTTATAGTTGGAAAAGATGTTGTTTCAGTTCGAAACGTATCACTTTAATCTCCTTTGAAATTTATCAAAGTTTATTGAACCTAACACTGAAGTAAACCATACTAAAGGTGGCACACGCCGCCACTCACTGAAAGGCGTACTCACTGCAAAACCTGAGTCACTGCTCTTGTACTGCGATATCCTTGATTCGTCCATTTTATGTATAAGCGATGCTGACATTAGAACAGATCTTATAGGCACCTCTCACAAAGATAAGCAGCCGTCGGTTTTAGACTTGGTTAAGCGTATAGCATCCGCGCGTATCTCTTATTTATGTTTATATGTGTGCTCTTCATACCAATGTGAAAACCTATAACGGACATCTCTTGATACAAGGGGAGCACAGTCGAGTGGCGAGTGGAGTTCGGATAACGTATCATCTTCTAGCACGTCAATTTTGGCCCTGTAGCCTTCTTTCCTGAAGCGAATTTCGCTTACGAAGTTACGTTACAGAATATAATTATCCTTAAATAACGTAAGGCTTATATTATAATTTAAGTGCGGCTTCAAATATAAATGCTCACTTTACAGCAGAGACTAAATATTTACTCATCAAACCCCTGAATTCCTCCTCACCGCTTTTGAAAAGAGCAGCTCAGCCTATGCAGAGACGTCACAAATGGCGTATGATCATTTCTGTAGCAAAAATCATAATAGTACATACAATGTTTTTTGTACATATCACTATAATATATATATATATATATATATATCTATATATCCTGTATTACCTAAGCCAGACATTATTCCTATTTACATTTAGCGCCATTGCGTAAAACCTATGCCAATCTATAAGAGTTCCTCAACTAAAATACAAGGATTAAATACGATGCGGAACATATCATGTGCGGAGTTTTCCTCTACTATATCTATACGGCCTATGTTAAAGAGTATTGCAGTATAACTTAAACAGTTTAATCAACATTTTAACAATGCTGTTATTGTAGATAGCTCCAAGCGACTGGGTGAAACAATAAGAAATATTAGAAAATCCCCATTGCTACTGTACAATTCCGGTTAGCTTTTAAAGACCACATGCGCTCTACTAAGTTGGATTTTTCGGCATTAATATTGTTTCATTGGGTTGGTCCACTGGTGGGCTGCGGGAAAATGGGTATTTGATGTCAAGTGTCAAGCGGGTGGCTTATACGAAGCTGTGACAGATGGCCACTGTTTTTGTCCCGTATATGCGGCGCATTGGTCAATAACAAGTGGAAACATAATAAGTGTTTGTAAGTAGAAAAGTATTAGATTGATAGAGGAGGAGACCCAAGTATAATACCCCATCTTTTCGTTCAGTACAACAACGTAGACTGTGAAGCTTATAGCAACTGGACGATAGTTATTCGTACAACTCTAACTGGAACTATTAAATACTTCTTTAAGATAAAACATACATACTTATCTGCGTTCTTCACGTTGTTAAATAGTGGTTATTTTCATCACGGAAAAAGTTTCTCTATTAAGTCCACTTTTTTTTTTGAGAATGTCGTTCAAATTATCGCTTGTAAGAGTTTCAAAATACTCCAAAACTTCCACATTAAGGTGTTCCGAAAATTTTCATATGTTCCGTAAACATGAATCACCTTTCATCTAAAGAAACGGTATTAGAACCATCTGTTTATATGAAGGGCATCAGCTTGCCACCAAAACACCAAAAAATAGTACAGCATTGAATTATCAACTACAGTCAATAGACCGGTTGTTGAGAAATACATTTTTGAAATTTAATTCTCTCTTTTTCTGTCTTTCTCCGATATATTTCAAAAAATAAACTCTATGAAAACGTATCTAATGAAAATTATGTATCATTGTAAAAATTATCCGCTAATACGCCGTTGACACAGGCTAACAACAATAGATTTATATTTAAAAAATTAGATTTTTCTTTCAGTCGTATACTTCTGTAAAATCATTTCATGCAGCTCTCCATAGTTTTTATCGTACAATTTATCTTATTCTCAATTTAAAATATAGCGTACGTACCGATTTGAAAGCACTTGGTAAGCGCATATGCGAGGTTGTTATTAGGGCAGTCTTGACTCGGTCCTGTGTTTCTGTCTGTTCTCTAATTTGGCGTCCCAATGCCAAAGTAACAGTCCTACTTCATCCTGGAGAAATGCTTACATTGCCTTAGAAAATTCAGGGAGTATTTTCGATATGCGAACTAAACGAACAGACAGGGAGATCATAGAATCTTTAAAACCAGGCCCGAATTTTTCATGAGCACAAAAAGAGTATTCAGCACTCAGTAAATAACAACTAGCCAATAACTCGAAAATCCATAGCTCGGCTCGTTCAAGAAAATGTCGAAGTCTACCAGATCGTTGCTTATTGCTTATTATGCAATAACGTAACACTTTTTGTGACGTGGACCAAAAGGGGTTGACGACAGATAAGTTGAAGACGACAACACACACGCTACAACGACGTAAAATAGGCATTAAATTGCTGGCAAAAATAGATTTTTTCAAAGCTTTCGATTCTTGAGCTTCACGAACTGTAAAGGTTATTAAGTTTACTTCAGTGTGATTTAGTGAATGGCCAGCTTCCGGATAACGGCTGTGACGGCCTGAGTAGTGGAGGTTACTTTAAGCAGATTTCATCACCATCCTTTATGTTTGAGCAGTACACTATGGTGAGGCCCGGTTTTGGAAGAAAGTATAGTTTGCCAAGTGTAACATTGTTCTTTGTAACGACATGATTGCTCGGAATCGTTTTGTATTTTTTTGCAACCTAGATCGGACGCGAGTTACGCTGTACTATAATATGAGAACGCAATGTCTGTCCGTGTGTAACTGGAATACCTCGAAAGCTATCGTTGTATTTTTGAACTGTCAGAGTTGCCGATAAAGGCCGGTTGTTGGTTCAACACACGAATATGACCACTATGACGGCAAGTCCGAAATATCATTTCACTGATTTCATCACACAGGCCAAGTAATCGAACATAGAAAATGGCCGCAGGGCGAAGCGTCAGATTGCTTACCTGTGTATATTTATGTACATTCTCTCAAAAAGCCTGGCGTAGGATAAAGTTAATAACATATCTGTCTCGTGATAAGCTGCACTTTTAAGTTTTGATGATTTGATGGATATCTTTTCAAGGAATAATTTTTTGCTAATATGAGACAGATTCGATTATGTTTGGGCCATATGTTGTCTATTCATCAACCATTAAGAATTTCTATGAAATTCATTTTAGAAAAATTTTTATGAAATTCAAAAAAAAGGGTTTGGTTACTTTCTCAACAACTGAAATGTAAAATAGAGATTATTTTAAGGACAGTTATATATTAGGAAATAGGGAATAAATAAAATAGGGGAAATTGGGAAAAAGATGAATTTTAATGAAGAAAAAAGGAACGTGTAACAGCCACGCGACCTTCAGATGTATCCCTCCCACATCGCTATCATATTAACAGTGTTTCTCCAAAGGGACATTTCTTTGTTCTCCTTGAAATCTCTACGGGCTTTATTTTTATTGCTGATTTTATTGAAGTAACCATCTGCTGTATATTGGCCGTATTGTTCACACAAGACGTACGCCATTATAAAAAATAGTTGACAGTATTATTAAGGAGTACAGAAATTTGGCATTCATCGTTTAACAGAAACTGGAAAACGCTCAAAACGAAGATAAAATAAACCTACCGCCTAAGGATTCTGTTTGAAATATCGATTCACAGACGAAGGCCCGAATTGGCTGAGACAGGTTTATATCTTGAGCTACTGATAACTTGAACTAGTTAGTCATTAATGAGGCTCAATGACAAAAAAACGTAAAAAGTATCTATAAATGTTTTAATGCTCAGTAGAGACTTGCTGTCTTCAAATGTCACTGCAGTTATATTCTCTACTGCTTCTAATCGTGAACAATGCGTTTTTTTCGGGCCGGTATCGTCTATTACGACGATAAAAAAGGAAAGATAAGACATATGTTTTACAGGAGTTTATGGCTTCTGGCTGACGGTCACGCTTTAATTGAATTGTCTCGTACTCATAGGCTGCCTATTAGGTCGTATGAAGCTTTTTTAATTACACCCCGAGATATGCAAGTTAGATTAACACGACGAAGAAATTTGGAGAGAGCTCTAAAGAACATGCATAAGGCACATGTTTCTTCCTTTAAGTTCGTCAACTGGCTACACTTGGCCACACGAGTTCCAATCCATTTATCTGGTAATATATTATCGATACTGCCAGAAATAGTTGTGACAAAGACAGATCTAGTTGTAGTAATTAGAGAGAACCACGTAAGGTGTTTTAGGACAACGTTCAAGCATGCCTTTGATCGGCCCATAGTTTATCTACTATATTTGTAGAGCGTTATTCAAGCACTACGGCCTCAGGACTACGCACCCATAGTTCATCATAAACATCACGCTATGTATCATAAAAGTAAGAAGTGCATTAAAAATGGTTCAATGAGGAATTTTCAATTAGCAAAAAATGTCTCAGGGGATATGATGCCACGTGGAACCGTATATGATTGTTAGTTTTCATATAACGCCGATAAACTCATATTATTCATAGCAGTACTCTGATTTTTTTAAGGTAAAACTTGCATCTATGTTAGCACGAATAGATACCCCAAAGGGTATAAAAATAGGTATACAATTTTATATTAAAGTTATCTCCGCTGGCCCGGTCGCGTTCGAGTTATTCGAGAAAATTTAGATGCCGACAACAACATCCTGGGACTAATTAGAATATCAGTTATCTATAGAAATTGAATGAATCCAATGGGAGTGTTCAAGTTAGTGACACAACACTGATGCCCGTGAACGAACAGATTATACATATCAATGATCGTAACGTTTTTAAACCTTCATTTTCCTGTTCGTCCATTTTATAAATGTAGCTTTTCTATAGCCCTTTTATAACTATTTTTCAGTGAAAGGGTACTAGAATAAGCATTTTAGGCTACCTAAACGTTTCTGTTAGCGGCAGGCCCGCACAGTGGGCTTCTCCCAAGCACTGATCACTTCATCATTGTTCCTTCCCTCTCCACGGTCGGTATGTTAAGCTGGTTGTTTAAGTACTCAGCTGTTTTCTACTATTGGTAGAAATGTGACGTCGAATTTCTGTCTACAGCAGTGGGAGTGTTGCACTACTGGGCTTACGTATTTATGCGTTGTAACTCTTGTTTTCTGAATAGCACGACCTACGATAAGGGTAAGTCGTTTGTTTCAAAGACACCCCTCCGTTACATCCGAGCCAGGCTTAGGTGAGCTTGGCGGGCGAAACCCCTCTCGAAGGCTGCAGGTTGTTGATTCTGCCGTTTTGGGCCTTACTTAACAGGTTAAGCAAGCTTTGGCCGGTGTCATTGATGATATATCGTGCGGAGGTATGGTGGCCTGAGGTACGATTCGTTCTTTTTTGAAATACGATTAAATGTTTCCTTTCCAAAAATGTATATTCTGAACTGTTCGCGTACAGCGACTTCTTCTTTTAATGTCACGTTCCCTTTTATTTTTCTTCTCTTAATGTAATATGTTGAACTCTATTTCAGAGATTAACCAGATAGAGGCTCCTCGTTCTAAATATTCTATTTAATTTTAGTCCTATCGGATTTCGGCTCAAGCCCCGTCAATGATCTATACTATACAACAGGTATGATTAAATAAAGAAACATAATTTTTCTATTAAATAACATCGTTTAATGGAGTGCAGCGATACTGTGTGTTTGCTGCTGTTAGTCATGTGCATATGATGGACCAACATGAGGAGCTACAAATCGAACTAGCTCATCGCGAGAGGCGTCGTGCAGATCGATTGCTTAAAGCTTTACGCTTCGAAGAAGCCATAGTGGCACACGAAGAAGCAACCTTACATCTGGAAAAGGTGAACTTCATTGATAATTCAATGTAAGTTAGGTGCTAGAACAAAAACTATGTGGTGAAGATGACTGGCTTTTCAGAAATGAGCAGTAAATAGCTTGTCAGGCAAATGACTGAGGTTGTTCAATATTTGTTGAACGTTAAACTGTTCAACTGGCCATGGATCAAAATTTCCACTTTGAATAAAATGGGTAGTGCATGCTATACTCCTTTGTGCTTGTATGCTTAGAACATAGAAATAGGATTTATTCGTTACAATATTTTTTACTTACGCTTTCTTCGGTTTAATTAAAATGGCCCCGTAACTAACAATGTTCGTTAACTTACTTTCCCGGAAACACATGACCGTTACCGCAGTAGTCAACTGCATTGAGTCAAACTCTTCTGCCTGATGAAGAGACCTGCTGGCGGCAGAAATAAATGGCTTCATAAGCCAAACAAAAAATAGCTCCAATCTATAACGAGAAACACTGAACCGATTTCAGTAAACGTAAAGAGAACTTAAACAGTTTACTTAGTTTTTACCAAGATCTGCCTCCTTAGTTTTTGTGTCAGTCCATCTACGTGTTTGACTAAATAAAGTGTTTATCGAGCATTTTAAACAAGGTTTTTGTTAACATTTTTTTAACAACCGTAATTTGATGCAAACGGCTTTAAATCTTCACAAGCCTTCTTACGTTTTCAGTTTTGGTTTATGGCGTTACACTGCACATAAAATATTCGCACACTACAAATTAGTCTATATTGAATTTAACGTGTATTTAAACACTTTCTAGCAGTTTTTCGGTACATCATGATTGCACTAGGATTTCTAAAAAAGACTATGATTATGATTGTTATTAATAAATCGTAGTTAGTTTTTTGTTTTAAAATTTGTAAGATATTATGGGCTCAGATCGTATTGTATTTTATGTTTCAGGCTCGTGCGTTATCAAATGATCCAACTGTTCAAGAATCTCTCCAGCTGCAAATCGCTTTTCACAATCGTCAAAAGCAGGTGGTGTGCTACAAACAGGAGTTACAACGAAATCAGCAAACGAGGCATACGTCGATTTTATACATCAGGTCAAAATCAAAATCTATAGTCCTCGCAAACTGTCTATGCGCTGAACAGAAAAACCAGAGAGAGTGACGAAATATAAGAATAAACATCAGTTATTTCTTTTTATTATAATTATTTTCGAATAATGTGCAACGAAGTACTATAAAACGACATGTGTATTTCATTGCAGCACAAGGTAATTTAAATACATTTTGGTCTGCGTTGACGCCTAGCCAGTACGTACAGATCCACATATGGTCATGATTTTTTTTCATAACTAAGAATTGCCCAAATAAAACCGGAACTATGCTACATTATATTTATGACGCCGTTTGCGTATATAATGAAAGTTGTTCCGTTTTATGTTTCCGGAAAGAGTTGAGAGTAAGCTCGCTCATATGCAGCTTTCTGGTTTTGGTAACGTAATTACGGTAATCTCTACCTGGCTTACTGTGTCGTACTGTGTTGATATCAAGGTCAATTTAAGTTGTACAAGTACCCTTCTTGTTAAGCGTAAGGTTAACAATTTAAACATCAAGGAAAACGTTTGCTTTTCCTGTCTCATAGGAATACAGCAGATACGATCGAACTGGCGGAAATGGCTTTACCAGACTGCGCAGACAGTGTTGGTACATCTACCCGATTCAAGCCGCAAGATTTCCGGGAAAGCTTCACTAAACAGCTCCACTCCATAACCGATCGTAATGATGAGTTGCTGTTACAGATATACAAAACTATTTCTAAAAGCAATGAATCTATAAACGGCAGCACAAGTAATCTACTAGAGAATGGACAGGTCAGTAAAGTTCCATTATTTTCTCAATACTCGCTTATTTCCCATTTTAGATACTTTTATACTTGTAGACGATTTTTTTTTCGGACCTAAAGTAGGGATTTCAAATAATACAAATTAAAAACATTTCTGCTGTCGAAGTTTTTTTGACAAAAAGCAATTCATATGGTATTATGCAATTTCTAACACGCCTTATTTCCAAAGAGCCTTTCGTTCTAATCATGCTTAATGGCATTACTGCACGATTTTCTTAAGTTTCCTTGTAACAATGATAGCTAGCCATCTTTCTTAGTTTAGCTCAACCTGCGAGTTTCACCTCCTGTTCGCTATACGTTTTTGAGTGCTCGAGCTTGATTGATTTGAAATTTGGCGCGCCGGTGGCCATACTGCCTGATAACCCATTTTCTATTACCCTTTTTCCTTGGTTATCCTCTTCCAGTTACAGGCAGTTCAGGCAAAAAGCATAACGTGTCACAAGTATGTATTCAAACGCTTGGTCGCCGACAACGTTTACCTGTACCAGCTATCTGGTACATCAAGTAAACTCAGAATAATTCATCCGCACAATATGATATGATCTATCTTGTGATACCAAAAGCATAGTGGGATACTCGTGTTCGTAAACCATTTTGCCAATCTCTCTTCGGTATAGGAACTTAGGAGACGCTTTTCCGACCAAGTGGAGAGATTTTATCGCAAGATTAAGAGAATCATTGGAGTTGACTCCTTTAGTATAAAATTAGCGGCCAGCCATTTTCTACTACCAATCAAGACAAACTACACCAAAGTTGGACAAACTCGCTTCACGCACAGACAGATGCACGGGTTTGTCTCGTACCTGTTTGAAGGTTGATTTAATCATCTGATTGGTTTATGTGGGACCTCACCTGACATAAATACATGAATCCGATTGGCTCCATTTTTCACGCAGCTGTTCGCCGGATGAAACTTTAGGTACCCAGCGAAAATCATCGTAATCCAAGTTGGGTTGGACAGGTAGACAAATGAACACACAATTTTAGTTACATAGTAAATATATAAGTAGACTAGACATATCCACGGGCTTGTTTTAGTTATGGTTTAACTGATTTGACTTTGTTTACGTTCAGCCTTAAATAAATTATAGCGTACAATATTATTTTCTAGCAATAACTTTGCTCTGTTTAGCCCGTACTCCGTTTGCAAATTTGGTTCGGGTCACGCTTAGCCTAACATAAACGATAATCCGGTTACAGATCTATGTTACCCGTTTCGAATTCTTCTGAAGTACCAGTTCCAATACCAATTCCAATTTATTTTTATTACAACTTTATTTTGCTGGCTATCTATTAGCAACATTCATATTGTTGCAATTATTCCGCTCCTCGCGTTGTTCCATTTACGTTGTCCCCGTGACCGCATTATCTTACTCGAAGCAAAACATTAATTTAATTGAAAAATGTAAACCATAGTTCTAAATGCATCAACCGTATCGTAAATGAATCAAATTTAAACTAAGATTTGTATACAGAAAAAAATAAACTGCATAGAAAAACAAATAAAAATAAAATACGGTGAGTCGTATTTTATCAATTATCAATCATTTTGGCGAATGCCACCGTTTCCCTGTCATTCGTAACACAGGGAGGATCGAAAATTACCCATCTCATACAATATTACATTCTTTTTGTAGATCTTGAAAAACAAAGAATTATTCAATACACACATTTTACAAAATAATCAAAGGTTGCGAAGTGAATCACTTTATATGATGAGCATGCTCAAATTAACATTACGTTCTATACAATGATGAGACTTCTTTCCGGAAAGAGCCTTTAACAATTCAGCTATTTTCCTTGTGGAGCTCATCCAAAATGATACTCTAGTGACCTTAATATCTTACGAGGCCGATTTGGGTCTGAGAAACACAGACGGAAGGACAAATAGACCGATGGATAACCTTTTAGTGGTATATTAAGTAGATAGATTACACAGATCTGTGGGATTTGATCTGAGACAGATGGTGTAAAAAGGAGTTCGAATTAGAACTGGGCATTTTGAGGTATATACATGGCAGTACATTCTAGGATGGAAGTATACTGGTTATATCAAATTAATCAGTTTATGTCGATTATTTTAGGAATGCAGAGCACCAGATTGACACAGATAATTTTAGTAACAGGTCAGATAGCTGTAAGCCATGTTGCTTCTATAAGGCCACTGTGGAAATGATGAACATTTCTTAATAATATGCGTAACTTGCAGGTGATAGAAGAACTCAGAACGAATAACTTTGAAATTCGGAGGGTTTTTGATTCAATGGCGGAAAGCTATGATAAGCTTCAACAACGTAACAAACAGCTGGAGAACGAGGTCGAAATATTGCGAGCAAAATTGCGTTTGCTAGAAAAGGCCCCGACATCAGGTCCGGATGACAGGGCGGACCAATCCCTACCTGAACTACCTCCCCTTGAGAGACCAACTTTCGAGGGCTTCTCCACATCTACAACGTCGCTTTTTAGTTAGTATCAAAATGTAAATTAGTGAGAAGGGTTTATTAGACGCTGTTTGACAACGCTGCTAACGCTAACATAACCAATGCATAATGTGAAGGCTGGAGATATGTTAAATAATTTCATATATAAGCTAATAAAATAGAATGTCGTATTTATAATTACATAGACAATTTTTACTTGTTAATATATTCTTAGCCTGTGCATGTTATGTTTTTATGTATTGCTACTTAAATTAGATCCTGCTAAGTGTTTCTCGTTGTTTGCATGTTCGCTTACTAAACTCGAGAACAAGTGAGGTCCCTTTCTTGCAACCACGGCAGCTTGGTTTACTTAAACTGGCAGGTCGATGGACACAACAATAGGCTTTTTTGTCATAACAATGGAAAATAGAATGCAATACCCGAGAAACAGGTAAAACTAACATCAATAAAATATTTGGTTCGTACTCTGGTAATCAATACACTCGCTACAACGGAAATCTTCTATATAAAGATAAATGTGATTGAAATTACACGATAAAAGAAACTCAAAAAAAATGTGCAAACACATAAAATAAGAAGAAATGTTAAATAAGAAGTGACCCTATTGAGAAAACGTTTTCCTAATAATGATAGTAGTAATAATTTGTAACCTTTGTAGTACCTACTAATTGGTTGAATCCTCTCGCCCTTTCCACAGCTTGGCACCATGCTGAACCCCAGTCCATTTCGCATGGTTTACCATTGAGGCTGAGGCACAATTACACATATAATTTTGATTACCTTTATTAGGTAGCTACAATGACTTGCAAATAAATACATACATAACTCTATACTATGATTATATTTTTATACAATACGTACTCAGAAATACCAGATCGTTACAGTTCATTATATTGTGTTAAAAAAACATTTACAAACAAACTCACAATGTAACAGTGTATTTTCGTCACCACGCCAGGTTTTTTATCGAGTGCGCCGGGAAACGCTGTGCCTAATGGTATCTGGCACAAGGTACATCTTAAGCATGTGGGGGTCCATTGGATTCGTGGAAACTTGACGTGTAAAGTGTATAGCACGTGATAAAAAGCAATAGACCGCAAGTGACGCGATGATATGGTGGTCTGAACAATCCATTAGGTTGCAAGCAATTATTGCGCCTTTTTACACAGTAGAAAGCGTTACATTTTTTATTCCTATGATATAAAATCATTATTTTGTGTATTGTTTGTCACTGCGCACAACTTTCATCTTCCTAACGAGTGATGTACGCTGTTTCATCAGAGGGTAGCGACCTTCATCTCGAAAAACTCTTTCCAACTACGGTTTTAGTTGATAGGAATTGAGGGTAAAGTTATGGAGGTTACTGCATAGCGGATGGAAAAGGGGTCGAAACGTCGGTGCAAACTTCAGAAAGTATTGAGGGTGCAACAAAATCTCACTATTTGAAATTCAGGAGAACAGCTTTGACCATTTTTGTCTTGCTGCCATAAAGCAGGATGACGTGGTTGCGTCTGGGTTTTTTTGTGTTGAATAGTATGGTTGACTTGATGCTACTGAACCAAATAATGTCGATTAACTGTACTGTTCGTGGGAAGCAATTCCCAATGAATTAAGCCCTCGCAGTTCCATCAAACGCAAAGTATAACTTTAGTTGGATCCTGGGTTTTGCCTTCTTTCTTGGAGCCATATATTTCAATCTCTGATTTATGATGATATACACTGGTAACAACTCTGTGGAAAAAGTGATTCTAGCACACTACCGTTATATCACGCCGAGCGAGCAGAAAGAGCGCTTTTAACCATATATAAGAAGTAAACAATGAGTAAGAAAAAATGGAAAATAATACCTTCAAAAAAACATGTAAACATCGTAACGTAAAGGTTGCTTCGCTTACTTCATCAACTCCGAGGGCCATATTCTCATGCTATGACGCGTGCAAACACGCACGGAGCAGCAGCGGTATAGGCTGAATTGAAACAACTAATGCGAAGATTACTTGTATTTACGCGATTTTATAGAAAACAGGCGTCCAGGTTGCATGTGGCGATAAGAATAATAATAATAATGAGAGTCGATTTTCTTTGACGAAATAATTAAATATGTTTTACTATCATCCTTATCACCTCATTCGCGTTCGCAAAAACGCACACTCTCGTCAAACACGTAATCTTGTTTTCCACAAAGTCAAAGCATACCGATGTGATATGGCGACTTGTTGCTTTACTTTAGCCGTGCTAAACACTGCAGCACTGCCACTACGATAACAAGCGGTAACAGGTAGAGTCCCGCTGAAGCTGAAAAAGATCCGGAAGTGACGTCACCGTGTAGCCTTTCCCGCCACCACAACCAACGCCGCCATAAAGCGGCAACTTCCAGTGATTCGATATTGTGATTCTCATTCATTGATTACTTTTGTTTCTTCGTTACTGAAAAACGGCGTTTCGATCAATGTCCCCTGCGACTGAAGACAGACCCTTTCTGTTGTTAAGATGTGCAAAAGCAAACACAGTATATCGTAAATGTTGTTTTTTATTGTATCGTTTATGTTTGCTTATCGTTATTGACGTTGCTTAGGATTAGGGAACGCTTCCCACTGATGGTAACCTTAGGTTTATTTATCGTTATTATCAACTTCCATCATCACAGATTTTAATTGGTCAACACACCTCGTTTTCGCTAGGCTCAATGGTATGAAGAATTTCGCGAAGTTCAAGAATGAAAAAATCAATTGACTGTTCATACTACCATGATTTACATTCGAGTAAAAAAGCACTTGTTTACCGTACGAACACATATATATCTATGGGGGTTACCTTAGGTTGATTTATTAAGATATATTTTTCATGGTTAAAAAAATGAGAGAATCTTCTTCAAATTATTACACTCGTTTACTTATTATCAGTTATTCGTTTGCCTAGATTGTTCGAAAAACAGCTGTGCGAAAAAGGTTAAAGCGTCTTGTAATTTTTTTGGTAAAAGCGATACGTCATCAGGGAGAGGTGCACGTTGATTTCGTGCTCAGCGGTACAATCTCAACGCTTGTTTCAAAAGCTCTCCAACTGAGCTGTCTTTGTCGTCGCGGGAATTAGTGGTTACTTAGATTGCCTAAGCTGTTTCAGAATTTCGGATAAATGCTATTGTTCACAGAGCAGTTATCGAAAATTTTGAGTAACTCCTATACAAAACATCAGCGGATGGACTTTGGCAAATATGTATTTATATCAATATTTAGTTATTTATGATTATAAGCTGTTTAGTGTTGTCATTAAACAATGAGTTGAAAGGAAAAGACATTGTTTGGTGCTAAAAACAATCGAGCAGCGATTATGTTTATTTCTTGAAAGTGGGGACCCAGCGGAGTCGTAAAAACACTGGGCAGAAAGTCCTTAGTAGAAGAACAGCTCGTTACAGGCGCGAGCGTTTTAGGAACAGAAATTGAGACGTCGAACAGCAATGAAGAAGCGTTAATACTTTAGGACCCCATACAGTACACTGCACGAAGAAATTTAATATAGGATTCTCCAAAGCGCACATTATAAAACGGAAACGAAGACATAAAGGGAAAACATAGCTATATGATGAACTGAGTCCATGGCGGATGGAGGATCTGGTAGTGTAATTTAGAGAAAATCTGGGTAAGTATTACCAGCAAAACCGTCGCCATAGGCTAGACATAGATAAGTTTGTGATGCCCTCCAATTTATAAACAATTTCAGGCTAATAGTGTTGAACCTCTGAGGAGCCAACTTAACATGAGTGACAATGCTGAATAGATTTGGGCGTAAGCTTATACTCACAAAGCATCTCAAGAGCCTTTGCTATCGCCAAATATTACCGATAAAGCAATCAATCGACACTGTGATATATCTCGCACCCTAAAGTTGTTGACTGACATGTGGGACGGCTATCGCACACAATGTGGGTACGCGATGACATCACATAAGCTAACCGACATGTTGCAATCAGGAACGGCCTCGATCGAGGAAAACAGAATCAAGGAATGGCTTTGGCTCTTGTATTTTCCAGGTTTACGCGTGCTTTATTTGGGTTGCTTTAATACTTTAAAGAGAGCGATATGTGGCGTGGCGTGTTCTACCATCGATTTTCTAACAAACCATTTATAATCCAAATGGACATGATTATACATATCACATACACACAGTTAATAAGAAGCTCCTAAAGTGCTTTCAAACCTGTCAACAGTAAGGGAGAGTACGTCATAATATCGTCTTTCTACCCGTAATGGAGCTTTGGGTGATTAAGGGGGTATCTAGAACTCTACCCTACAGGTGACACCTGGGAATTCGAAAAATCACTAGACTATAGTCCTTTCGTTTGTTCACTGTCATACATGGCGTCCTTTTCGAAGTAGAATTTACGGTCAACTTTTTCGTCATGCTTGCCGTTGCCTTTTCTAGGGCTCTCAAGGCTCCATAAACGCACCACTTCCTATCACAAGTGCATAGCCTCAGATCTTGAGGTCCCAATTAATCTATTACATACTTTGCATGGTTTGAAAGATATTCGAGCCAGCTGCCTAAATATCTTCCAAAAAATTTAATACACTAGCTTGTTCCTACGTTTACTACGGAAAGTAGTTAGGCAAAAGGACGCAAAGATGATGTGCAAATTCACGAATCTTAATGATCAATTATTGGAAGGTCATTTGCGGCTTTAAAGAAAGAAAGTGAAGCGCGTAAGACAGAAAGGTTTGCAAAGCTTGAGCTAGTTCAGCGTACAAGGCTTGACGAGCGTTTTTCAGCGCGCTCACGCTGGGCCGCGGTAGGGAGAGAACAGCGAAGACATAGCAGAGTAACAGATCAAATGCGTTAGGAGTCTAACACGAATGAACATGGGTCAGTTTAGCAATGACTTTGCGAAAATTAAGACTGACCTGAAAAATAAAGTTGGCAGCATAAGGTATGCGGTGCCGTCTGTACTTTACATCTTGTGCTATATTTGTTTTTCAAACTTCTTTCGAATGATCATATTTAGTTAGTGTTCTTTAGAGTGTTCAGCCAATCTAGAATATCCCAGAAATAAGACAAGAGCAAAATGATGTTTTGCATATACATGCTAATTAGTGTTTTGGAGTTGTACACCTGATATGGATACTAGGCATCACTACAAACGGGTGGTTATGAGCGCGAAATAAGGTATGTCTTCGTTCGATCTCGGACCTAGACCACAT